CTGCTCCCCTCAGCAGTGTACTTCGTCAATCTGCCTGTTCTGCTCCCCACTCTGTCTCTGGTGAATCCTCTCACCCTCCGCATCTCTGGCCCGTACCCCAGTTCTGTACAAATAAATAAATAAATCTTTAAAAAAAATTATAACCCTCAGTGACTCTTTGGATGTGAGGGATAAAGATGTCAAGAACTACATTTCTGGATGGAAAGACCATTGATATTTAAAAGAGAAGGGAATGCTAGAATAGATTGCTGTGGGTGGTGCTAACTATTAGTTCAGTTCAGGAAGGCATTCTGATGTCTATGAGATCTCTAGGTGATGCTGAGTAGATAGTGCATATACAGTCTGGAGCTAAAGAGAAATCTCAGTGAAAGATACAAACTGGCAGTCTGTACCATAGTTGATACTAAAAATCATGGGAGTTGATGAAATTGTCAAATGGAGAGTATGAATGGAAAGAATATTATCAATAAATGCGGAAGGTGTGTGTCCAGGATCCAGAATTGTCTAGCACAGAGGAGGGATTATCTTTGTTTGGGGATAGAGTGTGGGTTTTCAGGAAATGTTTCTCAGAAAATAGATCCTTGAGCTCTACAATGTTGCTGGTTTACAACTTAATCCATTGGCAATGTCTCCTGCAGGCCGAGATGCTTCCAGAGCATTTGTGACTGGTGACTACTCTGAAGGAGGCCTTGTGGATGATGTTTCTGGCTTGTCATTTTCTGAGATGCTGACACTTCAAAACTGGATTTCATTCTATGAAAAAAATTATGAATTTGTTGGTAGGTATTCTGCAGGTTATTTCTTCAGTGTTTTATCTAGTTGTCTTGAATTTTCTTTTAAGAGGCAAGAGTTCTTTGGGGGTTTGGACTAAGGTTAAAATCTGAAAAATAGCCAAGGATTTTTTACCTTAAACTCTGGCTATTTAGAGTGGCAGTGAGTCCCAGGAGGAAATGGCTGGGACACTTGTGTCCTCTCACTCTTAACCTTGGGAGAGGATTGCCTGGCCATTTTTTTTGGCCTGTGTTGCCTCCAAAGTCAAGGTTTTCCTGTATTAGCCTTGAATAACCAGCTTCACGAAAGCAGCTTCACTTTCTTACTGAGTTCTAAGCATCTGGCTTAGCACACAGGAAAGCTTGAAGCCTAAGTTTGTGCATCGTTTTGACAAAAACCCTATCATTTTTTTTTTCTTTGAGGAGAAAAACATTATCCTGTATCCAGCCTGAGAATGGTCTCCCAAGTGGAAGTAGTGCTAATTAAGCATTTATTAAAGCCAGTGGGATAGAGCACTGCACTTCCTTCTTACTGGAGATATGAGGGAACTGACAAACTAACTTTTTTTTTTTTTTAAAATTTTTTATTCATACAGAACTGGGGTACAGGCCAGAGATGCGGAGGGTGAGAGGATTCACCAGAGACAGAGTGGGGAGCAGAATAGGCAGATCGACGAAGTACACTGCTGAGGGGAGCAGCGGGCGGGTCAGGAGAGGTCTGCCACGCCATGTGGTCACCTCCGGGGCAGGCGGGAATCGAACTCATGCGGAAGCGGCTTTAGATTCTCAGTGCTGTGCTTTAACCCGCTGCGCCACCAGGGAGGGCCCAAACTAACTTTTTAAAGGTTTATTTATTTATGCTTACAAGAACTGTGGTATAGACCAGAGGTGTGTGGGGTGAGAGGACCCACCAGAGACAGAGTGGAGAGCAGAATAGGCAGATTGCCTGAAATATACTGCTGCCACCTCCCTGGCTGGCTGGGAATTGAATTCATGCTGCAGTGGCTGTGGATTGCTTACTAGTGCTGTGCTTTAACCGTTGGGCCACCAGGGAGGGCCCCTGAACTAACTTTTTAAATGGGAAGACACTGAATAGTATCCTAGGAAGTATTAGACCGTAAACACTAGATGGCTTCACACACACTGGACACTGGGATGACTGTGCCCCTTTTCCCCTCTTTCTCCACCTTACCTCACTCTGGAACCCTACTTTGATACCACTAACTTCTTGAGGGGCATCAGTATCATTTAACCATTGAAACAGGCCAAAATTAGAAGACTTTTCTTTGTCCCTAATGCCCATACATGTCTGTTCCTGTCATTACCTTGGGCTACCTTTTCTGAGGTCCTAAACATTTTTACTAACTTCTCTGCTCTCTCCACATATAACCAGGGCCTTTCTTTCATAGCATCTAACATGCTGTTTACAGTCTTCTCCCTCTACACCCCTGTTGTTGGCTGTCATCTGCCCAAGCTGTAGCATACCCTCCAATGTTTTTACCCAGTCCACCCCAGGTCATTTCCAAGATCACACTGTGTCAGTCGTTGAAGCAGCTGACAGCTCACCATCTGCCCTTCAGAAGTCTTGGTTCTCCCTTTTCCCATGAGCTTGAAACCAAAGTTGAGATATTACTGAGTTAATAAGAACACACAAAAGAGTAAGAATGGAATCCTGTGAGTGTACCAAGGATATCAGACCAAACATGTCATACTGATATTTGGGGAGCATACTGATGTGTTTGATGAGAGGTGTAAACTAGTCTTGCTTGAACAGTGTAAATGTGCTTGTGAGTGTGTCGGGGGTGGTGGGAGATATGGTCAGAAATGCTTCAGAAGGGTTGTCGTTAAAGCCAGCACATACTTGAATGTCTCCTATAGACAAGATCTGGTTCTGGTTCTCTTGGAAACCATGGGTGAGTTTAGTAGCGTTCCTGTGCTTGGTCAGCATGTTCTGGGTAAGAAGAGGTGGCTGTGTTGGGCTCTTTCAGGACATCAGAGTCCCTCAAGACATATCAAAGGATGACGGTCTCTTCTGTGGGTGTACACTGAAGTGGCGACAACCAGGATGCCATCTTGGCAGCCACGTGGGCAGGCTGCCAACTTTCAGGGAAAATAAAATGTTGTTTGTTATGTTCTAGAGAGAGCATTTGTTTGGGGCCCCAGCCAGTGGTGGCTACTATTCTAATTATACAGCTTCTAGAATCATATTCCTGTTGCCTCTACTACTATCATCCTATTTTTTGGGTGATACATCTGAAACTCACAAAGACAGGCTTGCCACCTTGCAAGATAGAGATTTCCATGGTAGACTGTCTGGGACTAGATTCTAGAACCCTTCATTTAGTCTGACAAGAATTTAAATCAAAAGTGACATATTAGAACAGTCAGGATAGGGAACTGGCCTTGAGAGGGTGCACTGAATCCTGGATGCACTATATATAAGTGCCACCTGGAATCAGTTCTCAGGCCCTGAGTTGGACCCCCTGACTCGGGCACTGCTACCCCAGTCTCCTACTCTGGCAAACCTTCTAGAAGTGTTTTTTTCTGTGTCTCCTGTCCTGTGGCAGGTGCTGCCTATGAAGGCCACTTGCTCCTTGTCTTGGAGATGAAAGTCCCTGCACCTAAGAACTGAGCTGTCTTTCGCTCTGGCCTATAAGTTCATGGACCACTTGTGGGCTACTGCCATAACTTTGGATTTTAAGTAAAGCCAATTTCCACTCTGTCTGCTAAAGGACAAAGAGAAGAGTAGAGGAAGCACTTCAACTTGGGGCCAGACCCACTTCCTAGGTTCATAGACATCCCCAAGTTATTTAATCTCCTAGTCTCTCTCCTATGAATATGGAACTTAATTTCTCTCTTGTAGGGTTGTTAGGAGGATTAGGAAAATGTTGGTAAGGTGCTAGCATAGTATCTGACAATGAGTAAGTGCCCAATAATTTAGTTATATAGAATAAAATAATTCAGTGATAGGAAGACCATTACTCAGTATTCATGCAAGCATTTATTGACTACCTACTGTGTACCCCCAAGCACTTTGGAGCATCAGCAAATGAATCGCACATGGTTACACTCTTCAGGGATCTAATATTGAAAAGAAAGATTTTGTCATTTCTGTGCTAGAAAACTACAACTAGGACAGGGATGCTTCTATTTAGTGTCCTGTGAGATATCATGAGATGTCCATGTCCTTCCAGTTTGAGTTATTAATCAGCACCCAGCAGGCTCCTGGAGAACACTGAAGTCAGAACTCCAGGAGCCTGATCCTTATTCCAGCTGTGTAAGAAGTGAATCTGGTCATGTGTCCCTCCCACTGTTACTCTGACATCAGCTTTCTTGTCACCTAGGGAAGGTGATAGGAAGGTTCTATGGCGAGGATGGACTGCCTACCACTGAACTGGCCCAGGTAGAGGCCATGATCACCCAAGGCTTGGAAGCAAATAAACAGGAACTGAAAGTAAAGAAGAAGTTTCCGCCCTGTAATGTGGAGTGGAGTTCAACCAGGGGCAGCCGGTTCTGGTGTTCCCAAAATAGGTAACAGCCTTTCCTTCTGCTCCTCTCTGCCTTTCTCCCAAAACCAATTTCTAGGTCAGTCCAGCTTCTTACTCAGTGAAGCCATAGACTGTTAACTGAGGGGAACATTTTCAAAATATATCTTCTTTGGGATAGTGATTCTCGACCTTGGTGTACTGTATGTCAGATCCTTCTGGGGAATCTTAAAAATTACTCATGGTGGAACCTCACTTCAATTATATGAGAACATTAGGGTCAAGACCTGTATTTGCTTTTGTTGTTTGTTTTACTATTCACAACACTTTACTTGTACTTTGTGCATAGAAAAATGCAAATCCAAGAGTGCCAAGCAGTAGCGGCAGGCACCCTGCACAACAGCAAGAGGAGGCTAGCAAGATTTCCATTCTGAAGTTTGTGCTAGTGATCATTGGGCTTGCATCGCTGAGTTTCTGTTGTCGAGCTGAGAGAGAAAGCAATGTTCAAAAATATTTAACAGAACTGTGAATGCTATAGACAGGAGTCTCCATAGCAAAGTGTCTTTGTGCTGCGTGGTTTCTTTGTATACTTTCCAGTGTTTGTTTATCTGCGCCTTGCATGCAGGGCCTGCCAGGCGAAGATGAGTCAAGTAGAGTCTGTCTACCATAAACCAGGAAAGTAATATTGCAGATGTTGCTGCTGAAGGTTTGATTCCATCTTTGCTGACGTCAATTTTTTTGTAATTAAATTTATTTTTTACATCGTGTTCGTTTACTTTGTACAGTAGTCAGTTTCTCCTCTCAGGTGTAGTCTCCATAGTTCTCCCACCACCATAGATAGCCCCAAGACCCCTCACCAGAGTAGATGATAGAGAATGCTAACTCACTTTTTGCTGTTTGCTAGATGTGAGAAACATGAAGGTTTTCTGTCCTTGTTATATTTGCAAAATTAGTCTTTGATGGGTACTTTGATGGGTCTTCTAGTGACACCTTCAAAGTCTAGGCTGGAGTGTGACCTTGGCAGGAGGAGACTGCTCAGTGGTGGCCTGTGGTCTTGCGCTGATGTGAGGGTGATGGGCGGCACAGGTGGGCGCTTTCAGTCTGCTGGTGACTAGCATGCTGATGCTTTCTCTGAGTAGGGCAATTCGATGAAGTCGTATTACATGTCAGCGGGGGCCTTATAGACCCTAAAGAACCAGAGACAGCTTCAGTGGTTCTGTGGTAACTTCCAGAAGTGGCATGACTGGTTGCTGGTGAGCACTGCAGCTTCAGAGGGAAGAGAGCAATTCAGTTTGATGATGTTCCGTGCTGCAGTCCAGCTTATTTATAGGGATAAAGTAAAAGACTGTTCTTCCTTCATTTCTTGGTAAAGAATTATATTTTTTCAGTCAAAACATACTATATATATATCTTTTTTTTTTAACAGAGACATGGCAATATAGGAGTTTAATAATAACATGTGTGCCTCCTGTGTACATGGGAGAGACCCAGCATGTCTGAGGCACTCTTGGACAGCTTTTCCTTTTCTTTTTTTTTTTCCAAATTCTCTCAAGACACTGCTAAAGACACTCTGGCCTGGGAATAGGAACGCACTACTACTAGTTCCTGCTCTTTTTGGCTTGTTCTTTCTGATCAGCAACGGAGTTTTGACCTGCTCCACTTCCGACCTGGGCTGGTTCACCCTCCTTAGGCAACCCGGTGGTCTCCCGCTCCCGGGAGGTCACCATACTGATGCCGATGGGCATAGCACACTACGGCCCGGAACTCCTGGGCTCAAGCGATCGTCCAGCCTCAGCCTCCCGAGTAGCTGGGACTACAGGCACACGCCCGGCTGGCCTGTTCATTCTGCTTCCTACTTGTCAGCACAAATCATTCTTGCCACAGGAGATGGGATGGAGAGAGGTATTTGCAGTGACTACCCGAGTGCTGTCTTAAAACTGTAAATGCTGTGTCATCTCAAGATGAACAGGCTAGAGAGATAAATCCTTTCCTTTTAAGAATGAAGGTGAACCAGATTCGAATAGATGCGGCAGGGATTATTCCAGGTTAATGCAGGAAAGTTGGAGAGAAAAATACATTTTTTTCTCCTTTAATCATCCACTCAGCCTGAACTCATACATGATGTGAATCTCTCAAATCTCTTTAGCTCTGCTAAGGGAAAAACTAAAGGCAGCCACTGGACAAGCCTGTTCACTCCCCTTACTCCCACTGCCAGGGGCCTCACAGCCAGAGTCCAGCTCATTTAGGAGAGGCAGTGCAGTGCTGCCCCTAGCTGCAGACAGGGCCACCGCCCTGAATGCTGAGCGGCACAGACCCACCCTCTTGTGGCGAGGGCCGTCCCTAGTTGCCCTTTGGGAGCCTGATCCCTTGTGTGGGCAACAGTAAACTGCACAAACGACAGCCCTCTCCAGGCCCACCCGCTGCAGCCACCACACACCTTGCTCCCACGGCACAGAATGGAAAATTCTTTTCTCTCCTAGCCCTAAGTGTTAAAGAGACAGATTTTCCAGTGTCATCCTGCCTCCAGAAAGAGGGGGGCTTTGAGAACCTGGCCAGCCCACTGCAGAACGGAGATGGGCCTTTGGCACATAAGTCTGCATGCAGGTGGCCGCAGATGGCGTGGTCCTCCAAGGGGGCGGGCCCAGATGCCTTTGTCCACTTAGATTCTTGACTTTGCCCCGCTGAAGAATCTGTCTCATTTTTCCTCGCCCACAGCCCACACCGGTCTGCGTAATCATCACCTTCTTGCCTTCGTGACTGAGTTGCTTAGGCTCTGCCCTTCACAACTCTCCCACCCAGAAGTGCTGGCCTTGTCCTTATGCTTCAGCCTCAGTGCTTGTTTCTGCTCCCATGTGTGCGTCTTCTGTTGGACTGGGAGGACTGAGTCCTGAGGCAGGGGCTGGGTGTGGAGCAAGTCACACTGCTGATGGGATGGCTGGCTGGAAGGGGGGAGGTGGGCATCCTAGCGCCCTGTCAGCTTGAGCGAGCTACAAGTGAGGTGGTTCTGACTGGGCAGCAGACTGCTCTGGCCTGCTGGCATGTGAACCTACATGGGGCTCAGTCTCTGGTGGGCATCAAGAAGCTCATTTTCCTTTTGCAAGGCTTCTGAATCCATGGGAATTTGAATTCAGTCCACTAAGAGTCAGGTCCCTCAGCCCAGGATAGGAGGTTGCCTCATACTATGTTGGGCCACGACTTGATCCTCTAACTCTGAAGCATGGCAACTTCAAGGGCTGAGCCTGTCCCAGACTAACTACAACCTATGGCAAGGCCTCCCAGAGGATGCTGACCCATCAGGTCCTGGGCTGGTGCCTCACCTGGGTGCCCCACCTGAGTGCCCCTGGAGGCAGCAGGGGAGGGAGAGGAGACTTGGATGCAGGCAGTGCGAGTAAGTTCACAGGGAGGAAACCTGCTACCACAAAGTGAGGCTGCACCTTAAAAGGCACAGGGCAGCGGCAGGGGACTCAGGGGAAGGGCACTGGACTCTCCCCCAGAAGTGGGAGTGGAGTGTTAGGAGAGAACATAAGACCACCATCTTGGAAGAATGCGCAAGTGGAATGATCTGTACTTCTCACAAAGTCTGACGCAATGCTCCTTCTGCCTCCTTTGTGCTTTAAAGAAGTTCTCTTTCCTTCTCTCTTTAGCGGAGGTGTGAGCAGAGACTGGATTGGTGTCCCCAGGAAGCTGTATAAGCCAGGTACCAAGGAGTCCCACTGCGTGTGTGTGAAGACAACTGGGCCCCCTAGTGACGGGAAACCGGACAGCCCTACACACAGAAATCGTGGGGACTTGGACCACCCCAACCTGGGGGAATATGCGGGCTGCCCACCCCAAGCCCCCACATGTTTCCTTCCACTCTAAGCTGGCGCCCTGCTTGCTGATGCACGCAGAGAACCCTGCCTAAAACCCTGGCAGGCCCTTGACTCGTGCCCTGGGATGGCTCCTGACCTAAAACAAGAGAACCGGGAAGGACATTGGCCACACTACAAATGTGACTTGGACCTCCTTATTGTGGGCTCCCTGTTCTAATGAGTAAGGCCAGGACTTAGCGCTCTGACAGTTTTTTGCCACTTCCCCCTCAATTTACTTTGGCCAGTTTTTGCCATTTCCCCCCTAGATACGCTCACCAGCCTCCTTCCAAGCCCTCACAAGTATGTCCAACGGAAAATTACCTAAGATAAAAGGGCTTCCTTCCCATGGACTCCCAGGCTGTCTGGATCCACTGGGGTCTGGGTCCTGCCTGTAACTGATTCCCAAGCCTGCCAGGACACCAGGGACACTAGCAACAAGGAACCACATTATTCCTTTAGCCCAGAAACAAGCAGACATGCAGAAAGCCATGCGAATAAAGTGTTCACGTAACAGTGTCCGGGTTCCCCACGGCTGTATTTGTGCCCCTGACTTAGTACCTTTCTCAGATGGAACAGCCCCATCCTAAGGCCAGTTTGAACTTACAGCCAAAGCGACACTGAGTTGATTGAGCTTGGCTGATACAATGAGAGGTGACAGTAACCGAGATAGGTGAATTCTGGAAATGGAAAGGCTTTTACCTATATGGATGCAGAAAGCCACGTGCCTCTGAGTGAAGCAACAGTATAAGCCCATGACGCTGCTTCTTGTTGGAACACCTGGAATCCCTGCGACGTGTTTTCACAGGGAGAAGTCTACATTTTCATTAAAAAGTAGTTTCACAGCTCTAACATGGTAAACTGGCTGGCTCAGTCTCGAAGTTTGGGCAAGGTAGCAAATGTCAACAGCCTTGCCAGTGGCAGGGCTGGCAACTTTTGAAGTGGGGCGTACGTCCAAGGTCATCTGTAGACTGTAGTTGACAAATACCGTACCCCGTACTCCCTTGGACCTTAAATAAATGGGGGCCAGGAGACCTTCCAGACAAGGGGGTGTAGACTGGCACCATTACAGGTTCATGGCTCCTCCACTGAGCTGGCATATTTTCCTCCTCTTTGGCCCTCCACTCTACTCTCTCACCCTTCCTCCTCTCTCACAGTTAATCTCACAGTGTAGCTTTTCAGATCCACTGACTGGAAATGAAGGCTGTCCACTCCCACTGGCAGTCATGGCTCTGACCCTGTGGCCACAGCTGTTTCTTAAACGTGTACTCTGCTCTGGACTCCTCTTGCCTCCCAGGATCTTCCTCTCCTGCCTTTGCTGTACTTTCAGCCTCTTCCTGCTTGCTGGCTTTTTCCCCTAAGTACACGTTAAACAGTTCACTTTTCCTCTCCTCAATGCGTCTTCTGGAGCACCGTATCTTCTTTCTGTCAGTTAAACTTTATTTCAGTCAGCTCGCCTGTTCTGCCCCTCACTGTCTCTGGTGAACCCTCTCAACTCCAGCTCCTCTGGCCTACACCCCAGCTCTTGTGTGCATAGATCTTTAAAAAGAAAAGGCTGCATGCAGTCTTTCCTCCTCACTCCCCATTCACTGCACAGTGCAGTTGCCTGGGTTCTGCCCTTCTCAGCTAAACAGGATAAATTGCATGTTGGCAAATCCCATGGGCACATTATTTTTTAAAGAATAAAATACCTCTGGGTATCGGCCAGAGGTGCAGGGGATGAGAGGATTCATCAGAGTGGGGAGCAGAATAGCAGATGGACTGGAACATACTACAGAGGGGAGCTGAGGGTGAGACAGGTCTGCTGTGCCATATGGGTCAGCTCCCTGGCCAGGCATCAAGCTTGTGCTGCAGTGGCTGCGGACAGCTTCACAGTGCTGTGTTTTAACCCGTTGCACCACCAGGGAGAGCCCTCAAATTCTCAGTTACCTGGACTTAGTCACATTTGAGGCTTCCATGAAACCTTTTCTTGACTTTCTGATTTCCCACTTCTCCCTTGGGACATTTCTTCTCAGCTTCCTCTCCCTATAAACTGCTTCCCACTGGTGCTGGCTTCTACTTCACCTGCCACTTTGACAGCCAAACTTGGAGACCGTCCAGGTGACTTTCCTAAGCCACTTCAGACTCCACATTTCTGGCATTGTCTTCATCTTCTTCCTCCTTGTTCTTTGAGTTCCCCCAGTGATAATTACACCATCTGTAATCTTTCACTCCCAAGAAAGAATCCTGAAACTACCCACAACTCCTTCCTCTTCGTGTCCCCTCCTGCCAACCAGTCCCCATGACTGGCAATTCTACCTGCTCACTTTCTTCTCCTCACCTCTCTTACCTTGCCCCAGTACCTGTCCTGCAGCAGAGGCTGTCATTTCATATCCAACTACTGCACATTACCTTTGTTGATGATCTGTACATTCTCTATCTAAACCTCCTCAGTGGTGCCTCATACCTGAAAGGATCAAGTGCTGTTCTTCAGTCTTTGGGCACACAAGACATTTCTTTGGCCCATCTCCTCTTTGTATGTTTCCCACCACCTCTGTAGACATGCACTGTGCCGGTCTGGAATGATACTTCTTCCTGTTTGTACACATATCTTTTCAAACCTCATTTCAGTCAGCACCTCTTGGGAGGCTTCTGTAGCCAGTGATGACACCATTCTCATTCAGATGCATTTCTCCTAGGTTCCCACAGCACTACTCACTTCTAAAATAATCATGTATCAGTGTCAGAAACCGTAAGTTTCTTACATTGAACTGCAAACTGTGACTTTGTACCCTACCCCCAAAGGGCCAGAAGTGGCAGTTTCAGAGCTTTTAGCTCTAAATTTGGAGATGAGGCCCAAAGAACTTATTAAGGTGACCGAAGCAGTAAGCCGAGCCTAGAACTCAGGTTTCTATCCTCAATCAGTGCAATTTCCACTCCCAATGAGGTTTAAGTAGGGCCAGATCTTAAGCTGAAATCAGGTTCTGAGCTCCACAGAACACTGGAGCTCAGTGCCTGAGGCTGTGTCCCTGCTGATGGAAGCAGCCCTCACCTCCAGGCTAACTGGGAGTTAGTGCTGCCATTCCAGTCTTTTCTTCCTCATTCAACAAATAGTTACAAAGCACCTACAAGCCCCCTGGGGCAGGGGTAGGAGAGTAAAGTAAGGCTTCTGACCTCAAGAGGAGGTCGTAAGATGGCCAAGGAAGCGTATCTGGAGGCCATCCTTGTTCTAAGAATGCAGGGAAAGTCTAAAAATCAGACTCAGGAATGTTCAGACCCTTCCGAAACTAAGGTATAGAAGCGAGAGCCCCTCAGTCACCTGTCCACCTGAGCACAGGGTGCCTGAGCTGAGACTACGGGCACATTCCAGCAGGCTGCCGTGGTTTCTGGCTCAGTGAGAATTCATTTCATTTTTGATACTTACTCCTTATGTTAAGAGTACTGTCTTCCTCAGTGCCCAGGCAGGGGATGAATCTTCAAAGGATTCAGCAATGGTTACATTGTCATTTATTGGCCTAAAGGGCTCAGCCATGAGAAGCTCATGGTTACTGGAGAAGTGCCTCTCCTTTCTCCAGTAGAGGTGGCCCTGGGGAAAAACATGGAGGAAGCCACAGAAAGCTCAGCTTGAATAATGGAGAAGAAACGTTAATTTATTGGGCAAGCAGGCTGGATGGGAAATTGTATTGTTACAGGCTGACGCCAAATCTATTACAGGACAGGGAGAGAGGAACCCCTGAAGCCCCAAACCTGCCTGCTCTAAGTGGGTTCTGCCATCTGCCGCATCAAGACAAAACATATAAAACTTTAATGAAAAGGGACTTTAATACAGTGAGTATACAATACAGAAGACAAAGAATGTAAAGTCTAAATCAAACACCTGAAGTTACCCATCAATCCAAAAGGGATTGGTCTAAAGCAAGGCCTGAAAGCTGCCACAAGACTAAAGCACCTTCTGGCCGGGACCCATGGAAAAGGGTCAGAAATGGCCAGACAAATCTGGGAGGAAAAGAGCAAAATCAAAATCAGTATAAACACTGCCATAGTCACCTCCCTACAGGTCTCTCACCCACATCTGCCTTAACCAGTCCAGGGCCAAGAAACAAGCATGGTTTCTTCATCACATGCTTGCTGCTCCATGTGGCTTCCTCAGGTTCCTAGCTCTCCATCCAGCTTTCTTCTCTTCTCTCCTTTTTCTCTGCTCAGCTCCACCCTCCCTCTGGGTGGGGCAGGGAACCTGGAACTTCCCCTTTTCCTAGGGACCACCCTGTTACAATATGTTTTCACTAGCCTCTGTGCCTTTTTTGAGAGGGACCCATTTTATGGTCCAGAAAGAGGGACAAGAAAATAGCTACTACCACAGCTTCTGATGGTGACCATAGCCATCACAGGAGCTGAATTTTCTACTCACTTCTGCTCTCTCTGCTATGCTAATGAGCAGTGTCAAAACAGGCTGACTAGCTGCCCTCTGACAAGAAAAAGAAAATGGTAATTCTGCCTTTTTTAAAAAAAGATTTACTCATTTATGCATGAAGAACTGGGGTACAAGCTGGAGGGGCAGGAGGTAAAAGGATTCACCTGGGGCAGAGTGGGGAGCAGAATAGGACGAGTGACTGAAATACGCTGCAGAAGGGAGCAGCAGGTGGCTCAGGAGAGGTCTGCAGCGCCATGTGGGTCAGCTCCCCGACTGGGAAGCTGCAGTGAGCTTCATGGTGCTGCACTTTAACCTGTTGCACCACCAGGGAGGGCCCTGTCTTTTTTAATTTTTCAATAAATTTTATTTTTCTATTGCTAATTTTGGCAACTGAAACATCAGCATTTTGGGATTCTAGCTTTCTATTAAAACACAGAAGTAAGTGTCAAGTCCAGGGTTTTCCATACCGTAGCATGACTGTGTAACAGTGGGAGTCAGACCATTGTCCCTATCCCTTGCTATCTTAGCTCTAGGACAAGTGGCTAAAGCCCATGGACAGCTGGGCTGTCTGTCCAGAACTCTGCAGTGACAACGCTGGGCTGACGCCCCACCTGAGAGCATTCCCTGTGGCCAGGGCACTATACACTGGCCCATCAGTACTCACTGGAGGGGACGCTTCATGTGCACATGGATGTGGACTTGCATGAGGGTAAGAACATATTGTGATCGCCGTCCTCAAGGCAACTCTGTAAGCTGGGGAGGACCATGGTCACTTATATGCCATAGATACAGAAATAGTGAAACTAAGGCACAGGAATTGTGGAACTTGCCCAACAGCTTTGGTCAGTGACCACTGAACTAAATTCAGTGCTGTCCCCTGGTTGGGCGAAATATGTGGGAGCTGCTGTGTAACCGACTCCTGTTTGCATTCATGCATTATGACCAGTGTTCATCTCAAAGTTGGCTACTAGGGCTACTGGAATTGTGTGGAAGCACTTAACAGTGCCTGTCCATTGTGTGAGGAAAGCCACTAGAAAAAAAATCACATTAGCTGGCTTGATCCTGGGGTAAACAAAATTGGAAGACAAATAAATTACTCCAGATCCTCCTCAGCATACACTCTCTGAAACCCATCACCAGTCCTCCTTTCAGACTCTGACCAGCAGAAAGCTCACAGGGGTGGGTCCTCGGGGGTAGATGTAGTCAGAGAGGACATTTTCAGGCCCTCTAGGCTCTTCAGTAGGTCGGGTGAGTGATGGTGCAGCTGGGATCACCCAGCTGATCATGCCATGAGCCGAAGCCTGGCCAAAAGAACAGTAAATCCAGGCAGCTGGTCATTGTGCTGAAAATAGCCACTTTTTGGCTGCTGTGTTTCTGAAGTGTTGGACACTCAAACTTTCCTAGATGGTGGCTGTTAAAGAAATTTATTCACATGTCAGGAGTTTCTAAAATTTGTTTTTAATGCTTATTGGTACTTCTGCATTAAAAGTAACTACAAAGATCTTATTAAAGTTTCCACTTTAAATGCACAATTTTACCTTTTTATTATAAGGAATTGTTACAGAAAATGCAAATATCAGTATTTGAAAAATACATTCCATTACACGATTCCAAAGAAAAGATGCCGATAAGCGCCATGGTCCTATTCAATGCCAGCATCCCACACTCAGCACCACCCTGCATGGCTTGGAAGCCGAGGTGATCAACCCAAACGTGTGCCTGCAGCCTCCGCCCAGCTACTGCCCTTGCCCCTCGTAGGTCATGGTAACTGCCACCTCCACACATCTGCCAAGAAAGGACAAGGCATTCAGTCGCGCAGTCTGCCGACGCAAGACTCCCTAGCTACAGAAAACCAGTGTTGTCAACTGTAACAGGTTAATATATTATTATGCCACACAGAAGAGGAACTGTACAGTGATCCTCCAGAGTCTTTAAGGCATCTAGGACAACTTCTGGGGACTTAATTGTTTAGTCTTTATCTTGTCAAGCCACCAGCTCTTCACCAATTCCTTCCACAAAACAAGAATGTAGCTTCTATATCCCTTCAGAAAGCTGGGATGGTGGAGGGCAGGCCAGCTCCCTGTTTAGTTCATCTGGGGCTTGAGCCCAAGGGAAGCGCTCCCAGGTCCTGAAAGAAAGCTTGGCTCAGGAGTTCCTTCAGTCTCGAGCAGAAGCTCAGTGGGTCTGGCAGGGAACATTACATTTACTTGCTCATGCTACCATTACCTGGGGAGTTTGTCTGCCTCTCAGGTTTGAGCATCAGGCAGCTCAACAGTGCTCTTTTTCTCAAAAAAGAAAATAAAAACCTAGATAGAATCAAGGCTCTTCCCCATGCCAAGATTTTCCTTCCACCTCATGCCTACAGACAAGATCAGCACAATACTCTGCTACAACAGGTGTGGGCCGTGAACGGGAGGAGTGAACCCACAAGCACGCTGAGCTCCCTGCAGGGACCCATTCAGGGAGAAGAGTGAGGAGGCTGAATGGGGAGATCAAAAATGACTCAGGGCTCTGAGGTAGAGGACTCGTGGTCACATGGACCATACTCCTGGAGAGAATATGGCAGATGAGCTGAGCAATCGAATCCAATCTTAAATAGTTGCTAATTTGGGATTGACAGGGCACAGGCAACAAACTAAATGGTACACATGTTCTAAGACATCATTCAGTTGAGACACCACCAAAAAGAAACTGAAAAATTAAAGAGTCCTAAGTGTAGGCACTTAAGTTTGTGGGAAATTCATTTTAAGGATCATAGCAATTTAGTTGTAGCTATTCAATTTATATAGCACATGGTTTGTACCTTCATCTTAAAAAAAAAAGTGTCTAGAATACATCGTATAATAAACCTGGTGATGAGCAAGAGGCAGTTAAAAAGCTAATTCAGCATAACAATGTTGACTGATGCAGCAAATTATATTTTAGTAAAGTTTATTCTCCTGGTCTACTCATTCACAATTGACAGCTTTCTGAATGAATAAAATTAAAAGTTAATACTAGTATTTGCGCTATAGTTAAAATGTAACAACAACTGCAAAGTGTTCCACAGTCACTCTCACCGGCTTGGAGACGGCACAAAGGGGCCTGAGCGCCGGGGCAGCGGCCGCTCCGGAACGTGCTGCCTGCAGCCCACTGAGCGCTGGCACAGGCGGCCAGGTCTCCAAGACTGCAGAAAGGTGCTTCTTCCAGATTTACAAAAAAGGACTGTGAAGCCAATGCAGAAAATGTTTCCCCAGTCCACAACTGATCAGTACCTTATCTATCCCTAGACTCTGGGGAGAAATAAAAACTTGACTCAATGTACTTTAGACATGATTTTAAGTGCAATTAGAGGCAAGATTGTTAGTGAAATTAGTAGGGCAGGGATCAACCTCATCCCTGACTGAATTCCCATCCTCTCTACCATGAATGTTAAAAGAGCAAGTATTCAAGTACCAACCAATCAATTCATACAGAAGAATCATCATTTCCCTTTCCAATGAAAAATTAAGCCACCTAACTAAGCCCTACTTCCTCGTGGCCCTATTCAAATAGAAAATGGAAAGTGACCACATGCCTCACATGGTCAAGGGTTTGCCAAGACGCGGTGTTTTCCATAAAAATTCCGTATGAAATACTTCACAGGGGAGCTCTTCTAATTAATGCTTTCTTTTAAATATTATACACAAGCTCATATTAACATGGAAAGCATATATATCTTATAAATCACAGGAATATTAAAAAAAAGTAGCACTCTGGTTTATCAGCTCATTTTACACACATATTTAGGCAATATAATATATAAATCTACAGCAACATGGAGGACATACCACCACTATCCAAAAACAAACAAACAGGCTGTTGCAAAAAAAATATTTAGTCCCTTTACATATACAGTCATACTTCATTGATGCAAAAAATGTAGTGGTTATTAAATGTCTGAGAAAAAAAATCAGCACATATGATTGAGATTATTATTCTTTGAGTATAACTCTACAACGCTATTATTCACCTCAGAGTTGTGTTTTTTTGTTTTGTTTTATTAAGTAGTGGTAGAAGTTTCTCTTTAAGTGTGCATTTAAAAACTGGCCAAACCTTCAAAAGAAAAGTTCAACACTTCAGGGTTAACAGACGTCCTAGCAGCGACTAAGGCCCAACAAGCTCTGGGGGCCTTACTCAGCATACAAGCCAGAGCCTTCCAAAAGGGGGTCACATGTACTTGGCGAGGGCCTTCGGCAACTGGCTCCTGTGGGGCAGGGCAAGCTACACAGAACTGGGACCCGGGCCCTGGGCCCCGGGACCAACAGCACTCACAGTATTAACTCGAGAAGGTTTACGGTCGAAGTATTCATGTCAAGGAGATGAGCCTGTCAGCTCGGTGCTGGAGATCTTCCTCTTCATTACCTGGGCTGTGTGACATTCTTGCCCCAAATGACACAAATGCAGGAGTTTTTCTTTTAAGACGTATTGTGAGTGGAGGTCCAGTCAAAGCTGATCATTAGTCACTGATTTATGAATGTGTGAGGAATTTTTAAATTGGAATCACCAATAATGCAGCTCTATAAAAAGTGCAGCACAATAAAAGTGCGTTTCCTCCACCACTCTCTAGTGGCAGAGTGACCGAGGATGCCACAGACAGGACACAGCAAGATGAGAAAATGAGATGCTGCTAGAAGGTGTCAACAGCCACACCACACTCCTGACACCTGAGTAGCATAAATACTGGTAAAGCTTTCAGTTGTTAAGGCCACGATTTTTCAGCTCTCATCTTTGAACCCTGTTTAGAAAGATTCCACCTTTTTTAAAGGGGTAGCTCACTAAAAATACAGCTTAGCTTTTCCCCAAAAAAAGAAAAAAAAAAAACCCAAGAAAACAAAACCCCCAAAACCAAGCTTCAGGGCAAGAGGATCCTATTCTCGTCATGAAAACGCTGTGTAGAAAAGTCCACAGCACTTACCCTCGAGGAAAGGCAGCTCTCGTGGAGCAGCCCGATGCCGGCTCCCTACTGTTAGGCTCTGCCCAGTAAGTTAGCCCAGACGGAAGACTTTATGAATGCTCTGAGATGGACACTAAGCTACTGGGAGGGAAAATGGTTTCTGAAGTGTCCTTGTTGTGCTGCTAGCAGAATGGGCTCTAATTCTTATCACATTTACCACTTAGGCTAAATGGCCTGGTCCGATTCATGAAAACAGCTAGTGAACTCGATCACAGTCCGACACTGACAACCATACAGAATCATTGCAATGGGGTCTATCACACCATGGTCCTTAATTCCAGTCGTTTGCTGCAGGAAGACGACTGCCAGCTCCTGCTCTGGGTGGGGTCAGGCTGGTGAGCAGAGCAGCTGCTGGGAGGTGACCCGGGAAGTGGCCTGGACCCTCCTGGGGGCTCACTAAGAGACCCCACCCAGAGTCAGTACATCAAAGCAAATGTTGCAAACTCGCACAGGTTTGTTCAGATCAAACTTTATGATAGGAATCTCCTTGGTCGAGCATTTATGGCAAAGAAGACGTCCGCAGTGACGACTGTGGAAGCAAAGGAAGGACAGGTGAGAGGGGAACGGAAGCGCAGACAGCAGACAGCATCCAGCACGGGCTGCCACCGCTGCTCACTGTTAGTCTAGAACACAAAAGCCTGGCAGGTGACTAGGTCCAAGTGCTGCTGCGGAAGGCTCTTACTTTAAGGATACGGAGCAGTGAGCCACAGCGAAAGAACAGTCTGCTGTGCTTGGGCACTGCTCAGTTCCCCACGGAGCAGCACGGACTGCGGTCAGAAGCACGCCTTCTGGGAGGGCAGCACCTTGGCCAGCGCCACCCCTCCGGCAGTAGCTCCTGGCACAACCCTGGGCATGTGCACGGTCCTGTCAGCGCATCGCTGCGTGTGGGCGAGTTTTGCCAGAAGACTAGAGTGCTGGCAGGTTCACGGCTCATCAGTGAAAAGGGCAGAGCCAGGCCACTAACAGAAGCCCCTCGGCCCCGGTGAGCGGCGGGGTGGGCTTACCAGTGGTGTTTCCGAGTCGTGACTCCAAACTTGGCAGTGCACTCATAGCAGTTGGAGCCATCACACCACGGAGGCTCCTTGGACAGCATGTCTGTAACACAGGCGAGAGAAAACTAGCTCCTGTCACAGTGACCGTGCCAGGCCTCAGCTCACAGGGAACATGGCAACACGGGAAACAGAGCAACACATCAGAGTGACCTGGGGGGCGAAGGGACAATATTCTCTCAGTGGGATGTGGAAAGTGAAGAGGTGGATGTGGAGAACCCGTATTTGCCAGGGAGATGAGGAGAGAGGAAAATAGTGTGTTCAGATAGTGACATGGCACAGCGTCTGGAGGGCATGTAAGCTGTTAGGGCAGCTCGAGCGTAAGGCATGGGGCACAGGGCAGAGACCAACCCTTAGGAAGACTGGTAATAGCTAAATGGTAAGAGGAATAAGGAGGGGACCAAGACAAGGGAAAGGGAGGGAGACTCTGTAAGATTTGGTGAGTAAAGAGAAGTAGGGCTGTGGAAGGGAAGCAGGGAGCAGGAAGGAACTGAGGTGACTCCCACATGTTTGGATGGCGTGACAGTCTCTGGTGGGACGTCCAGCACACAGACACAAGATGAGGCATTCAGTGTTGAGTCAGCAGAAGCTTATGTTGGTGGTTACCAGTGTAGTAATAGTAGCAGCCACTGGTGTTTATCCACTGAGTGCTAACTACATGCGAGGCTCTGTTGTAAGTTCTGTGTGTTCTGTGTGTGGCAGAATGGGCTCCCCGGAAGGGAGCAGCGCAGGAATCATGTACTCCTGGCTGGCTTCTGCCTGCCAGCACTGCGATGGGCTCCTACTCTGAGCTTTTAAAAGCACATGGCAAAGAGGGCCCTCCCTGGTGACACAGCAGGTTAGGGTGCAGCACTGCAAGCCAGCCACAGCTGCTTCACTTCAGTGTGAGTTCGATTCCCGGCCCTGAGGTGATCCACATGGTGCCGCAGACCTCTCCTGACCTGCCCGCTGCTCCCCTCAGCAGTGTGCTACATTGATCCGCCTGTTCTGCTCCCCATTCTGTCTCTGGTGAATCCTCTCACCGCCCCTGCACTTCTGACCTGTATGCATAAATACATAAATCTTAAAAAAAAAAAGTGCATGGTAAACAGTAAACTAGATGTCATGGAAGCACTGTGCTCTTACGCTGGCTCAGCCATGAAGCCAGGTTTGCTTTTTTTTTTTTAAAGGTATTTATCTGCCTATATCATTGTGTAATAACCCTGCTTAGTCTCCACTGTGGGTGAAGGCAGCACAATGCAGGCAGGCACTGAGCACTCTGACTCTTTCTGTAACTCCACAGGGAGGAGAAAAAACCTGCACATAGGAAGAGTGACATTCTCGCCGCAAGATGGACACAGAGAAGGAAGAGTCAGTGGGGCTGAGGTGGAAAGCCACGGGAAGGCTACAGAGAATCTGAGTCAGCTGCAGGAGGAAGGGTATGCAGATAAGCAGTTCAGAGACCCTGGGAGAAAGACCTAACTGCTGGCTGTTGGCAGATTTCTGGTAGGAGCCCAGAAGGAGAGAAAGTGACAGGGCCCCCAAGTGCAGCGCTCTGAAAAGGGATTGCTAACAGCCACCCTCCCCAGCCCCTCTGACGGAAAGTCCCTTAGCTCATTCACAGAAAAAGACCCAAACAGTGCCTGGAAAACTACTTCCACCCTTGGAGGGGGTTATCCTGAGATTTAAAGATTACCAACACACCCGGCCAATCAGTGCCTACAATGAAAGAGCAGAAAATCGATCACTCACCTAAGAGTCTAAACAGAAGTTGCTTGGTGGCAACCTGGTAGTTGAAAATGTTGACTCCTTGGTTATTATTCACCCCAAGGCGGGCCCCAGATCGGACGATGGCACGGCACAAGTTGGCATTCCCTTTCATGTATGCTAAGAGCAGCACTGGAAAAGAAAAGCAGGCAGGGCTACTGCACACCTGGCCCCAGCACGCTCTGCCAGGCAGGCCCCGGCCGGGCGTCGGCGTGAAGTCCCCACTGACACACCGAGATCCTGCAGCTCCGAGGAGCCCACCAGAGGCTGTGCAGCACCTCCTAGGCAAGGGCCTGGCTGCAAGCCAGGGGGCTGCAGAGTTCTGAAATACGCTTTAAAAGAGCACTGAGAAGGGATTAAACGCTGAAGGGGAAACAGCCATTGGTAGCTGCCTTCCTTTCATGAAGCCACTAGACTTACCCCAAAGGACAAAGCTCTTCTCATGCAATGCAACTAAATCTAAAGACTTCCGAGTTGTGGACAGCTGGAGAAACATCAGCATGGAGAGCATGCTTTCCCCTCTGGGGCCTCCCTCCTGTGTAGGCCCAGGTCCAGCCAGGCCTTTTTGCAGCCACTGTCCGGATACCCAGGCTAATAGCAGCTCTCCTTTGCTTACTTTCACCTTTAATTCTCCCATTCAATTCTCTGAATGACCCAGGAGACTGAGGGTTATTGTTGCCGTTATCAAGGGAGGCACAGAGAGGTTACAGAGTTTACCTGGGTTCACCCCACTAGGTGACAGAGCTAGTATTTGAAAGCCAGTGTCTGTAACCTGAAGCGCCTGCTCACCTAGCCTGCCATGGCAATGGTGCCCACTGCACACACGCTGGGTCCAGAGCACGCTCACTCCCAGAAGCTGACTGCTCTGGGGCTCAAGCTCATCACTACCAGATTAAAAACACGTTTGTGTACTGTAGCCAAGAACCGGTAAGAGAGTATGTGTCCCATACTGAGGTTCAGGAAGCCCCGTGGAGACTGCATTTCTACCACAGGCCAAGGAGGCACAGTCTAGCATGGATAAACGGGTGGGAGTGTAGCAGCAGCAACATGCCGAGACACTCCAGGCCAGGGAGAAAGGCACCTGGGGTTCATCTTGTTCAGTGTGTGTTTCCTTTTTGAAAGACTGGCGTACTACATGCATGGCTTACCTTACTGGCTACCTGTGGAAACTACTCAAATGTAGAGTGACTGTGGTAGGAAGCACACCACCACAGGAAAGGCTGGTTGAGTAACTGGTCAAGAAGACATCAGCTTTTCTATCTGTATATAACTTGCCATATTTTCAAAGCATGTCAAGCATCTATGCCGTGGTTATATTCTCTCTCTCTTCAGAGACCTTGCTGACAGATAAGAGAGATGCATGAGGGCAATAAAAACATCTGAGCGGGCCTGGATAGGCGGATGGCTCAGAGCACCAGGCACATTCCAAACGTGACTGTGCGTCACAAGCTGCAGATTCGAACTCCAGCCCCGTAACAGGTGTTCAGTGAGCCCCATCCACATGCACTGGGCTGCCTACCTTAAGCAGCGACATGTATCTGGGCTCTGCTTTTCCCAGGGAGCAAGGAGCACAGACAGACAACTTATTACCTACCTGTGTTTCCTTCTGTATCTGGCTTATCCAGAGGATATTCAGGCATGCACTCTAGGAAGAGATCGAAGATGGCTGCTGCATTCTCTTTGCCGTACTGTCCCAAAATGTGCAGTGGCGACTGGCCTCTGAGAAAATAAACTGGGAGAGTTAGCTATGTATTTGCCACAGACATCATACGAACATTTCTATGAGCAGTATGATTTAAGGATTATAATCTAAATCATATTATTAAGTCATAGAAGTTTTCTAAAAAATATTAAAAAAAAAAAAAGCCTGGGCAGCAAAGGCTGGTCCAGTGGCCTAGTAACCAATCTGCAGCATGCACCGGGGGCTGATGCAAGGCACTGGTGACAGCCAGCTCTGAGGGGCAGCCCCGGCCTCTGTCCTGGGCCAGACACTCACCGGAGATTAAAGGCTTCGGCATCCACAGTGCACTCTGTCAGGAGGACCCGGATGTTGTTGAGCCGTCCATGCATGACAGCAAGATGCAGAGCTGGGGATTAAATCCTCTAACTGTGTAAACCCAGAAGCAGATACCGAATATCCCTCCTCACCCTCTCAAACCTCCCTCTAAATGGGATTCAGTCAGAGCAGCCACTGGCCATCCATCATCCTTTCTAGTTGCCCTCCACCCCCTCCCAATAATCAATGATAAGTGGAACCTTATGTGTCTTTGCTGTCTGCTCCTGGAGATGATTTCTAATGATTTCATAAGAAGCCACTTTAGGTTTCTCGGCTTATCATTCAGTGCAAGAGGCTGCCAAGGGCTCGGTTCAGAGCATTTCCGGTCAGCTCTGCGCCTATGAGAAAGCCAGCCTCCTGACGGGACACAGACCCCAGGGTACAACGAGCCTCACTCCTAGAACAGAGGAGTGCTGGGGTGCTCAGCACTGGAAACAGGAAAACTGCGGATTACCATTATTTCCATTCTCATCCACAGCAGCAAAGTCCACTCCGTTCTCCAAGAGGACTGAGCAGATGGTGGGAAGGTCCTGCTGGGCAGCGAGATGGAGGGCAGTCTGTCGGTGCTTGGTCAGTTCATTCACTTTGGCTCCTGCAAGCAGCTGTTGATGTTTACATGATTAGTCTCTACCACTGACATCAAGGCTCCACCTAGGGGCCAACCCTGCCTGTCCTCTGGGAAAGCTGGAGGCAGAAGGGTCTTCACACACACTTCCGCAGAGGCATACACCGGCAAACCATCCCAAAGGCAACCTGGAATCTACCGGAATGTCAAAAAGCCATTCCCGGGGACACTGAATTCTCTTGAGTACATTAAGTCCAAGTAATATTGTTGATGGGGTCTTTGAAACTGCTACTTCAAGTAAAAAGAAGTATATTGAAAACAGGTCCTCAACTCAAGTCTTGTCTTTCAATGCTGGCTGGGATTGTTTTCTCATCAACATTACAGGGAAATATTGGGGCCTCCCTGGTGATGCAGGGGTTAAAGACAGAGCTATCAAGCTCTTGCTAGCACAAGTTCCATACTCTAGCTAGCCTGGGAGCTGACCCACATGGCACAGCAGAGCTCTCCTGTCCAGCCTGCTGCTCCCCTCAGCAGTGTGCTTCATCAATGTGCCTGTTCTGTTCCCCACTCTATCTCTGGTGAATCCTCTCCCTGCCCCTGCACCTCTGACCTGTACCCCAGTTCTGTATGCATAAATAAATAAATCTTTAAAAATAAATGATAAAACCAGTATGGCTTAACATGGTGAGAGCTCTATGATTATAGACGGTACACTCTGAAAAGGCAAATTGGGGCCTCTGGTGGTACAAGGGGTTAAGTCTCAGCACTATGAAGCTACTGCCAGCTACTGCAGTACAAGGTCGATCCCTGGCCAGGGAGCTGACCCACAGGGCACAGCAGACCTCTCCTGACCTGCCCGCTGCTCTCTTCAGCAGTGAACTTTGTGGATTTGCCTGTTTTGCTCCCCACTCTGTCTCTGGTGAGTCCTCTCACCCCCTGCACCTTTGGCCAAAACCCCAGCTCTTGTATGTGTAAATAAATCAATCTTAAAAAAAAAAAAAAAAAGGCAAGTTTGAAGACAGCATGAGAGCATGACTCCATTCAGAGAAAAAAAGAGACTACACAGATACAAAAATTTAAAAGCATATATACCCAGCTCAGAAAGCTTGGGGTCAAAGGCAGCTCTATTTACTTTTTTATACATTGTGTTTTTAAGTTCTTCTACAATAAGCATGTACAACTTTTACATTTCTTTTAAAAATAAAATAACCAAGAATTACAAAATCAAAGGCAAGATCAAAGGACTTTTAAATAACATCCTGTCCCTTCAGTATTTGAGGTTCATTCATCATCCACTTTCTGCAAAGTCCCGAAGACAGTTGCTAGTTGCTGTTAACAGATCATTTACTGTTTACATCAGAACCCAGTTTGTCTCTCCCGAGGCCTGAGGCTACCCTGGCTCCTGCACATGTGCCAGCACCCATCCCGGGAGCTGCCAGGCTCGGTGAGCTCCTGTATTTCTGACCTTGACCTCTGAGTCCCAGCCCCCCTGGACCTCCTGCCTCTCCAGGCACCCAGTCAAATCACTCCAAGTTCCAGAGGGGTCACTAGTACTGTGAAAGACCATAGCTACCCTACAGTGGGTTAACTGGGGGTAGGGTGAGAGGGTTGGGTAAACAGTCTCCCAAGTCACAGAGGGAAGACCACATGGCCACTGTTTGGAAGAACTGTTTTCAGGAACCTGTGACCTGTTAGATCATGCCTTAGTAAGGCAGGGGCATGACCCTGGTGAAGAAGCCATGATCCTCAAACTCCTCTAGGGTCTCAATTAGAGTGGCAGGTACACTGATGACTACGTGGCTTGATTCCCCCAAATTTCCAGGCCCACCTCATGCCCCCTCATCTAGTCTGTGCCTGGTTTCCATCAGATGCACCTCCAAAATTAGTTCCCAATTCCATCCCTCCTTGCTACTGCTGCCCCTAGGCCTCTTCACTGTGACCTTGTCCCCACCTCAGCCCCGTGATCCCAGATAAATCTTCCTTTATATCTAACACATATCAAGTCATAAACATTTTTTCCAAAAATATTTTTCAAAAAGCAAGTATCCCAGGGCACCACAGGCTGGTCAGGTGCCTCAGGGGCCAGTTCTGAAGTGTGCACTGAGGCTGGTGGGAGGCACAAGTAGACCAGCTCTTCCGGTCAACCAGGTGACCGGTACCCTGGCCCTGGCTCTGACCGTGTTCCCAGCTCAAACACATACAGTAGTTTCTCCATTGCTTCAAGTATAAAGATTGCTCACAGCTGTGGTTCTGAAACACCACACTATACAATCCAGTCTCTATCCACCTCTCCTACAGCATCTTGTACTCTCTACTCAAATTTCAATCAAATCTTTCTACTTTTCACAGACACTTTCCAGTCTCCACATCTTTGCTCAAATTCCTCCTCTGGCTTTATGTTAGGCTGGAAAAGGCAGGCCCTCAACTACACTGCTGATTAGATAATCATCTTTGAGGGGAAAATCTGGGTTTAAATTTTATCCTTTGTAACATGTAAACAATGTCCTCTAGTTTTGAGAATTAAGAGAACTCACTCACTGGAAAGCACCGGTTAAAGACCTCACACAGAGCACGCAGACCCTGAAATGGATCACGCCTACTTCCTGTTCCCACTCTGTCTTCCCTCAAGGCCTCACTCCAGTTTCTGCCCACCAAGCAGCCTGCAGGGGCCTTAGGATGGGCTGCTCATTGGCACACCTGTTTTCCCCGGTGTACTGGTTGAACCCCTGGCAAAACCCCAGGGGAGAGGAGATCACACACAGCTCTGCAGTATGCTCTGTCCACGTTACTTGCAGCATATTTCAGTGACACTTACCAAATTGCGGACAATAATCTCTGAGCCTGCTTGGACAGCAAGGTGCAAAGGGGTCAATTTGGAAGCATCCTGGACTCTGGAATTCACATTAGCTTGGACACTGATCAGGAACAAGACACTTTCAATATCAGAGTTCTGAACGGCCACGTGAAGAAAATTCCGGCCCTTGTTGTCCACCTAAGGCAGTAAAGAGGGAGCCAAAATATTAGTGGGCTTCCTTGCAAGTGCACCCTGAGCACCTACCAGTTGGGCTAACCACTGGAGACCACCGGCCACTGGTCAGTGTTTTCCTTCCCTTGGTTTCAAGATGTTCTCTCCCCAGTCTTAATACTAAATGTTCCCTGCCCACGCAGCTTCCCCAATTTACACATTTGTGCACTTGACCACACATGTGGTCTCATTCATGTGGTCAGGGGAAGTGAGCCACTATCCTGATAGAAAATGGCCTGGCATCCTCATAAGCTGCGCTTGGAAAGTCAAGAAAGACAACCTGATGACCAGGGAAAAGCAGGCACCACAATTATTAGCATGCTTGGAGAAAAGCAAAGATGGAAATTTATTTGGCTAAAATAAGTGTCCTCACACCACCACCTGAATGGTGAGCAGTCAAAACACCTTCCGTTAAGTTTCCTCTTTTATTGAATGAGAGGAAGATAAGACACAACAAGGAAGCAGGCAGCCAATTACATGTCAGACTTTGCTCCACTGGTGTAAAGGAAGCAAAAGCTCACTCAAATCAAAACACGGAGACTGTAATTCTATGAGCTGTCATCTACACTGCACTCAGTGAGGGGTGAGGTGGACACCAACATGCCGCAGACATCACACTCCCACACACATACACACACCCAGAATGTGCCTGTATCTGCAAAAGACTGGTCAACAGCAGCAATCTGAAAAACAACAACCACCAAGACTAAAGCAGTAGTAAAGCAGTTTTGTACTAGATGAAGAGGGATGTGAGCTGACGATCTCCATTTGTGAAGGTTTTATACCATGTGAACAAGAGTAAGATTAACACCTACACAGTCTGCACAAATGCTAAAGGAAAGTGAAGTCTGAAATACCACTCAGGTATTGCTCAGGTCCCAAGTTTCCATTTTACCGTCCTAAGTCTTGGCACTATTCTAAGTAATAGCTGAGATTCAAGTGTCTGCAGGACTAACTTAACTACCCACCCCCGTTCCTACTTTAGTGTCTGTTGTCATTTCCTACTCAATCTGTTGTCACAGATCAATAATTCACCATTCAGTGGCTGGTGCAGAACCACAAAAAACAAGGAGAATGGCAGCTGCTAAACCGAGTGGTAACAATTCCTCTAAAGTAAAGTTGCCCCAACATCACACCATAAGCTCTCAAAGTACTACTGAAGGCTTCTAAAGACAGTCACTACTAGGCAATAAAGTCGCCAAGCAAAAGCATCAGTGAGCCCCGCTGTACATGCTCCAGCTCTCCTATCTCTGGCCCTGGTTGCTCCCACTTCCTTCTTCGTGTGGCACCACCAACTGCTGACAGAAAGTAAGACCAGTCAAATCTCCTCGGCACTGACAGACATCTGAATGGCCGCATTTAAAGATAAAGGGAGTATGATTTCAAAATGAATGGGAGGCCTGTTTAACCGGTGACATTTGGTTAGTGTCCTAACAGGTTCTGCTGTGCTCAGGGCACTGTGGAAATCGTTAGGTGTCGGTCACTCACCTGCTCAGCAGCCCCAGATTCTCGTTTTAGAATGGCCTCGGCTGCTTTGTTGTTCTTGTAAGTCATGGCGCAGGCAAAAGGAGTCAGCCCTTGTCTGTCTCGTACATTCAAGTGGATGTCGGGGTGAGAAATCAGCAACTGAATGATGACACTGTGCTGATTGCTGATGGCCACATGGACAGGTGTTCTTCCTTCTGCATCCTATGGGCACCAAGCGCAGATTCCAATGTCCAAGTGAAACAAAGTTCAGAAAAATTATGAAGAGGGATAATTTTAAAATCAAATTTGGTCCTGAGAATCAATACTACCACAGTGTTTGAAACTGGCTTGTAAAGAGGCCAAACACAGAAATGACAGAAAACCTCCTTCACTGTACCACACTCCAGTAACCCCGCGAACACACAGATCTTCTGGTTTAGAAAATGTTCAGTCAGCCTGAACTCTACATGTTACACAGTCCTTATCTGGCTCCAGGGCAGCATATAAAAGTCTTCACTGGCTAGAATGTTGCAGAGCAGCAAGCAATGAAACCCAGGGGTGCTCAACTGACTAACGGAGAATTCTCCCAAACAGTACTTAGCTTAGGACTAGAACAAACTGTAAGTGGAAATCTCTAACTAACAAGAGTAGAAGGCAAAACACATTTTCCTCATGCTGTAGAGAGGACAAAGGCACAAAGAAGAAATGTCTTAACCTGAAATCATTAACATTTCTAGGCAGGTTGTATGACTCAGCGGAAGTCAATCTCTCTGTATTGCAGCCCCATTTATGGCAACGGTGAAGTCTGGGACTGGAAAATTTACAAGGGTCCTTGTCATAAGAGATTTCCCTAATTCTTGGGTTACCATCTAGTTCCCTGGGGAAGAGAAACTTCCCATACCTGTGCATTTACGTTGGCACCAAACTCCAGGAGACACTGTACTGTCTCTTCTAGCCCCCAGGAGGCTGCCAAATGCAAGGGAGTCTGTCCATCTCTGGCCTCTTCCTCGCCTTCTCCGTTAGTACCTGGCTGTCTGGGACTATTCACATCACAGCCACTGAAAGATGGAAGCAATGAAAAGACAGATTTAACAGGTAGGTGACTACCTACTTTACTGGCATGCTGACAAACGTACAGCTTCACTTCACCCAACAAAAAAGTTGCTGCCACTTCTATGTATAGTTGACCTCGGTCTCTCCTCTAATACGGCTGGCTAGCCCCCACCTCCACCCCACCACAGCTACCAACAGATTTTTCTAGTTATTCATATGGGCAACTTAGGACAATGGGGAATGTTCACGCATTTAAAGTTTGATAACTGCTGCTCTGAAAGTTTCCTGAACAGCCTTGACCCTCACACATCCTGCACTCTGAGAGCCCATGGAGCCTTTTAGAGTTCATGTATAGGGGCGGGACTCTATAGAAGCCATCTGGTCTCCTCCACCCGAGCATCCTGGCTTCACAGTATGAACTGGCCTAATAGGAATACAAGAGCCCAACTGGTCCCAAAGCAAGAAAATGGCTTAGCATTCAGATTCTTTGATCTGAGCACATAAGTCCCTCTTCCCACAAGTGAGCCTGACCCTTTGCTGTCTTGCCTTAACAGAACAGTGATCCTCTGACTACTGAAAGTCAGAGGTTTGTCAGGTTTGTAGGTAGGTTAAAATTTAGAGTGAGTTTGCAATAAGCTGAATAAAATCTGAAGAGATACATAGCTTCTTCACACCTGCGAATAAGAAAGCAGGCGGTAGGTTCATTGTTTTCATCAATGGCCCTGTGTAGAAGTGTCTGAAGGCATCCACTAGGTCCCGGGCCCCAGCAAGTAGCATCACAACCATGTCTGACCTGAGGGAAAACACAGATTACTTACAAATACTGCTACTGAAGACAAACAGTTTTATTACCATCACTGAGCTCTATGTACAATTTTTATATCTGTTTTCTTTCAGGCTAGATGCAGTTGATAATTAACTAGTACCATTTAGCTTTACAAATACTGATTAAAACCTATCTGATGCATTATTGCAATAGGTCCTATTGGGTGGGCTTAAGAAGTGTTAAGTCAGGTATGTTCCATCACTGCACTCAACAGCTGTGTTCTAGATGGCACAGAAAACACATGTGCACACACATGTATCCATAAGGTCTCAATAACACATACCTGTTATTAACAGGTAATCTCGATAACAATTGGGTAAAGTTTCCAGTGCAAAATGCCATAAGATGGCATTTCAGGCCCTCCAGAAAGCTAATTAACTCACTTTTGGATCTGTCTTCTGAACAAAGGACACAAACCTGAGATCTGGATATTTATCAGTATAGTGACAGTGAGGGCAGCCCACATTAAATTAACCCACCTCAGGAGAAGACACCTAAGGAAATGTTCTCTTGCTTCTTGGTAATTTTCTGCCATTATTGTGTAGAACTGCACGATTCTTTAACATGACTTTGAACTGCTTATTCTTGGCCCTGCTTGTTACTTGGCAGATCTCTTGCTCCTTGAGATTGTTCTAGAGGACCAAATCCATCTCTGATACAAAATATCTCAAAAAGTTGAGTTTGTCTCACCAGAGTTGATGCGATGTCCTCCAGATTATTTGCCAGTGCAAGCCACAGTGGGGGGTTCCCACCCTCATCTGGCACGGACATGTCAGCTCCTCGTGTGCATATGGCATCCACCACAAGCGGAAGCTGATTTCTGATGGCCAGTTGAAGGGCTGTCTCCCCATCCTGCGTCCTGTTAGGACAATTACACCAAAACCAATGTTTGTAGCTTGAGACAAAGGTTAAGGAGGCCAGAATTCACTAAACAAACATCACTCACACTCATATTCTCTTGGGAAAGTTTAACCTGTCCCTCTGCCTTCTAGAAAGTATAGTCAGGGCCTCCCTGGAGGCGCAGGAACTAAAGTCTTAGCACTATGAACTAAAGTCTTAGCACTATGAAGCGATCTGCAGTCACTGCAGCATGAGTTTGATCACCAGCCAGGATGCTGATTCACATGGCGCAGCTCCCCTCAGCAGTATACTACTTCATCAATGTGCCTGTTCTGCTCCCTAGTCTGTCTCTCATCCCTGCACCTCTGACCACACCCTAGTTCTATGATTAAATTAAAAAAAAATCTTAATTAATAAAAAGTTCTTATCAATATACAGTAAAAGAGACAGCAACTAAAACAGAGACACCCTACTGAATGAGAAAAAATATTTGCACACATGTAACTGAAACCAAAGATCTACAAAGAGCTTACACAACTCAACAAAAACAAAGCAACCCAATCAAAAACGGGTAGAAGAGCTAAAAAGACAATTCTCCACAGAAATGCAAACAGGCATACTGAAAAAATGTTTAACATCACTTATAATCAGGGAAGTGCAAATCTAAGCCACAATGAGATACCACTTCACACCTGTGAGAATGGCCCATGGGGGGGAAAAAAAAAAAAAAGGACAACTGTAAGCAACAAGTGCTAGAGAGAATATGAAGAAAAAAGAATCCATCTTATACTGCAGAGGGATTGTAAACTGGTCCAGTCACTATAGAAAATTGTATGAAGGTCCCTCAGAACACTAAAAATGGATCTACCATGTGATCCAACAATTTCACTCCTGGGAATCTCCCCCAAGGAGAAAAAACATTAATTCAAAAGGATACCTGCACCCCTATGTTTACTGTAGTACTATTTACAATACCTAAGATATGGAAACAACCCAAATGCTTCAAAGCAGATGACTGGATTAAGAAGATGTGGCAAATATACATATAGAGTATTAACCAGCAATCAAAAAAGATAAACTCATAATTTGTAGCAATAAATGCTGCAAATGGTTGGAGCAGAAAGGATTATGCTAAGTGAAATAAGACAGAAAGAAAAAGATAAATATCAGACGGTTTCACTGACATGTGGAACACAGAACAATGGAATGAAGGGTTAGGAAAAAGACAACACTTGCAAGCTGACCACAGATCTCAGAGTGAGGAGGGGCCAGGAAGGGGTGGGAAGGACACAAGAGATGGGGAAAATAGATCATGGGTGCTATGGTAATGGGAGAACTAGGGGGACTGTGCCTGAAGGGAGATATCAAATACTATCCAAAAATAAATGATGCAAGAAAATTAATTTAAAAAAAGACTGAAAGAATAATTAAAAAATACATATACTTCCCTGTGTTCACTGCAACATTATTCACAATAGCCACGTCATGGAAGCAACTTAAATACCCACAACAGATGACTGGACACATCCCTATTTTTATTCTAGCACTATTTACAATAGAAAAAACCTGGAAACAACCCCAATGCCCAAAAAATATATTAACTGGATCAGGAAGATGTGGTATATATACACAATGGAATACTACTCAGCAATCAAAAAAGATAGAGAAACTCATGCCATTTGCATCAACATGGTTGGAGCTAGAAGGGATCATGCTCAGTGAAATAAGTCAGAAGGACAAAGAAAAATATTGAAAGTTTCAATGATAGGAGGAATATAGGAGAACCAATAAGACACAGAGGAAAAAAAGTAACAATACAAAACACAACACAACAAAAACAAATAATTATAAACCAGAGATATCCTACAGGGGAGGGAGAGAGGGACCTGCAGAGGGAGAGAGGAGCACGGGGGCCTAGGGTGATGGGGTGTGGGAGAACTGGCAAATGGGGAAAATAAACACTGGTTTAAAATGAACAACAATGTAACAGGTATATAAATAAGTAAATTTAATTAATTAAAAAAAGATAACTGGATAAAGGTGCTGTGGTATATATACCTAATGGAATACTACTCAGCTGTTAAAAGTTATACTCTTGACTTTTGCACCAACATGGACAGAACTTAATGGTAAACAAAATGACTCAGAAAGTGAAAGACAATCACCAGATGATTTTTCTCACATGTGAGATACAGACAACCAGAGCAAAAGAACTAACAAAACACAACAAAAGTACTCTTAAATTCTGTGAAAACTATAGCAGTAATCACAGGGGGAGGGGAAAGGGCTGTCAATGCAGTAGCATGATGGCACTAGAACTTTGGGTATGGTGCAATGCAGCATGTATATGTCAAGGTGTGAAACCATACTCCCCAAATTTACATAATACTGTAAACCAATGGTAAATCAATAAAGTTTTACTTAAAGCTGGTCTTAAAATTGGCCTTTTAAGTGAGATTTGCTGATTACTGGGCACTGGTTTTGAAAGGTTCCATTAAGAGCAAAGTACAGGGCTCTCCCTGGTGGCGCAATGAGTTAAAGTGCAGCACTATGAAGCTATGGCAGTCACTGCAGCCTGAGTTTGATCCCGGCCAGGGAGCTGACCCACATGGCGCGGCAGACCTCTCCTGACCCACCCGCTGCTCCCCTCAGCAGTGTATTTCACTCAGTCTGCCTGTTCTGCTCCCCACTGTCTCTGGTGAATCCTCTCACCTTCTGCACCTCTGGCCTACACCCCAGTATTTGAAGGCATAAATAAATCTTTGGGGGAAAAAAAAAGCAAAGTACAACTCCCTCTTAGAGTCAATGCTTATTATCAATTACAACACTGCATTTGTATTTGTTCAGCTATTGTTGCCCTTCCTTTACTTAATAAGCAATACAAATATTTTTTTTTATTAAAAAGTTTATTTTTACATCATTTTGCACATTTTTTTTTTCATCTCAATTGTAATCCCCACGGGTTTCCCATCACCAAATCACCCCTGTGCCACCACCATAGTCCCGTGCATTTCCCTCCCTTCCCCCCCCCTCCGTTTTTGGTCCCATTCCCCACTACACCCCCACAGAATGTCTCTGGTCCATGGTTGTTCATTATTTTTGTTATTTTCTCGCCTGGTCCATTATACTCCTGCTATGAGTGAAACCATCCGGTAGCAATACAAATATTTTTATGAGCAAGGCTTTGCTTTTGAAACATCTCAATTAAGTGTGGTAGAGTTAAAATGTGGATGGTTTCACTTACACGTGGAACACAGAAACCGATCAAAGTGTCAGGTGAAAGATAACACGTGCAAGCTGACCACAGTTTTGAAGCATACAGCAGGGAAGAGGGATGAAGAGGGTCAAAGCAGGGGAGGGAAGAGTATAAGGGACTACGGTGATGATGGACCATGGGTGCTCTGGTGATGGGAGAACTACAGGGGCCACCGCTGAGGAGAGAAATCAATACTGTACAGAAATGAAAACAATGTAAGAAAACAACTTTCACACTAATAGAGTGGCATGGAGCTGTAGCACAGAGTGCTGCTGCAGCTTACCTGACGTTTATATCCGCCTGGTGCTCCAGGAGAAACAGTGCACTCTTGCTATCCTGCCGCTGCATGGCCATGTGCAGCAGAGTCTGCCCATCAGACATGGTGTCATTGATGCAAGCCCCAGAGCCCAGTAGCTGGGCTGCAATTGTATGCATGCCTAGGAAGCAAACACACTGGTTAGTGCATGCTCGGGGGTGTCTCACTTCCTCAGCATCTTACAACAAATATACCCGCGCACCTTCTCAGATTTCTGCTGGGTAGTAAAGACTTAACCCCCCCCCAAAAAAGGTTATTTACAACTAAGTGTTTAGCTCCAACCTCCCTACCTCACCCCTTCACCCACCCTTGTGATGTCTGCCTGTCTTTGAATGTCAACCGCCTCTGACACAGTCTTACCAGTCCATAATGCAAGGCCCAGCACAGTTTGGTCTCTTGAGTCCTTGAGGCTGAAGTCTGGAATAATTTGCAAATTGTTGGTGGCATGAAGAGCATTAGCTAAACGTTTGAAAAGGAAAAGAGCACTTGTTTTACTGTTCTGTGGATCACACTTAAAACACTCAAGAGAATAACAGCTTAGTTTCAAACAGACTAACTGGCTCTACCATGACATTTCTATACAAAGAAAACCAATAACTCTTGTGGGAGTAGAAACCCATAAATCTAGTATTTTGGAGCAAAGGTTATGGAGAAGATGGATTTTTTTTGAAAGCATAAAATAATCATCACAAAAGGAAAACAAACTCTACAGTGAAAACACACATTACCTGATTAGTGAAAAAAGGATTAAAACAAGTCCTGGCAACTTTTCCCTAATACATAACTCCTACCCAACTAAAACTCCTGTGAGCAAGAAAAAGGCACAACTAAAGCCCTATTTCCTTCTGCAAGCAGTGCAAAATAAACATATAAGTAACTAACCCAAAGGCTGGCCTTAACAAGGGTGCAGGGAAGTGGAAACTTGAAGATTCCTTTCTGAGGGACAGCCTACCCCACTGCTTTCCCTGCCATGCTCTTCTTTCTAGCTGTTCCTGCCAGAGGCTCAGAGCAGAGTGATGAGTATGTGGAGGACCTGCCCCAGTGGAGTTCTCAAAGACAGTGCCCACATCAAGGTAAAATTTTGCACGGCTTTGGAAAGAAAGTAGTAGGGTTTGAGGTTCTAGCATCGTAACCTAGTAGGTGGAATGGGCAGAGTTCTGAAAATGAACAGAGTAACACAGAAGCCAGGAGCCGGACTATATGCATATCTAGGGATTTTTGGTTTAGAAAACTCACCAGAGGAAGAAGTAGCAACTCTGTAACTTACTACTCAAAACCACTATATACCAGTGAAGTGATCGGCTGTGATCTCAACCACATACCTTTCTGCTCCAGGATGACAGATACCACATCTGGGTGATTATAGGCAATTGCCATGTGAAGTGGTGTCTGCAGGTAAACACTGTCCACCAAACTGGTCAGGGATGTAGCCTCCTTTGGCAAGGGCAGAGCTTCCTCTGTCTGCAGGTTTGGGTTGGCACCTTGCTGCAGGAGCTCCGCAGTGAGGTTGGCCAGACCATGCCGACAGGCCGTGTGCAGTGGTGTTTCTCCCTAATAGAAACAAATGGCCCCAAATCAGAGCTGTTTCAGACTGGGGACCCCTTCACAGCCAGCATGCTGAAACACTAGTCCCCAGGGCAGTCACAGCCTGTTGGCCCTTCCCTGCACCAGCAGACCTCCACGACTTTTGTCCTGCCTCTCCCAGACTCCTCTCCTCCTGCCCCTGTGCTGTCATCCTGATCTCTTCAATGCCTTTCCAAACACCCAGGCTTCTCATCCACTTCATTGCCAGTGATTTTCTGAATCACCCCTCACTTTTTTATAATTATTTCACTAATTACAAAAATATTATTACTGAATGATAGTAATAAATAACCTCCAAAATGAACCAGTGAAAAGGGAAAAGCCTCACAATCAGCCGCAGAGCTACGCAGCACTCTATGTGGCACCTCTCTCAGTCCCCACCAACACACCTGTGACACTGCTTTCACCAGCTCAACTCGACCTCACCTAAACTCTGATCAAACCTTCCCCTACTTTTAAAAATTAGTATTATTTTAAATTGGTATTACAGGTACATTTTTTTCTTTTTTAAAGATCCATTTATTTATGTATACAAGAACTGGATTACAAGCCAGAGGTGTGGGGTATGAGAGGAGTTACCAGAGACAGAGCGGGGAGCAGAACAGGCAGGTTGGCTGAAATACAGTGCTGAGGGGAGCAGTGGGTGAGACAGGAGAGGGCTGCTGCACCTTGTGGGTCAGCTCCCTGGCTGGGGATCGAACTCGGGGATCGAACTCGTGCTGAAGTGGGTGTGGACAGCTTCACAGTGCTGTGCCTCAACCCTTTGTGCCACCAGGGAGGGCCCACAAGTACTTTTGATTCAATATTTAAAGTGCACAGAAATATACATAAAAAAGAAGTGTCCTCTCAGGCTCTGTCCCTAATACTCAATTCTCCTCTCCATAAAGAAGTTCTTACTGGGTTTGTGTTTCCAGTGACAGAATAATCACAGGAAGCAACATGTGCCCAGATGCACTTCATATGACTGTTTCACCCAAAGCAATGGAGACAGCCTGAACGCACTGTTTTGCATCACTAAAAAAAAAACAAACCTTTATATACTTGTTTATTTTTTCATAATACAGGATTTTCCTCCTCAGGTATGGTCACCATAGTTTTCCCACGAACAAAGCACTCACAGTTATCCACTATTACCATAGTCCATTGTGGTGCATTATTAATCTTCTCCTCCTCCATCTCCCTGTACCCCCCACCAATGCCTCAGACCTATAGCACGCTTTCTTGCTCTTATCAAAGCTTTACATCATCATTTAAAGACCCAAAGAACTCTACAAGGCTTGTTGTGGAAAATTGCAAGAGCCTATCACCTTTCACCAAAAACAAACAGAAACCTCCTTTCCCAGAAGGAATCACCTTCAATTCTCCCAACTCAGTTTTTTTTTTTTTTTTCCCAACTCAGTTTTTATAACCTTATTTCTAAGTAGCATGCTTTCATTGCCACTTCTGAATTTCCCCTTTTCCGGTATCTCTGGGACCTGCCACAGTGGAAGATGAGGATTTAGCTCTCTTATTCCTCTCTTATCCCCCTCCCCACTGAGCTGTAGAAGAACCCTCACAGGCGTTCTCGTCTGCTCCAGCCCTTTTCCCCACAAGCCCTCACTGTGCACACTTCACTAATCTGTTCCCTGACTTCCAATAGCAGCTTCAAGCAGCAGACTCTCAAATCCAGATTTCCATACTGTTTCTGCATCCAATTTTCCCACTGACTATTAGATATTCCTGACTGAATGTTTAAAAAGGAATTCAACAATAACAAAACTGAATCTATTCCCTCCACATCAGATCTTCCTCCTAGTCAGGTTTTCTCTTCATAGCACATCACAATTTTATTTTTTTAAGGTTTATTTATTTATGCATACAAGAACTGGGATGTAACTCAGAGGTGTGGAAGGTGAAAGGATTCACCAGACAGAGTGAGAAGTAGAAATGGCACATACATTGAATATACTGCTGTGGGGAGCAGCGGGTGAGACCAGAGAAGTCTGCTGTGTTGGGTTAGCTCTCTAGCCGGCTGGGGATGGCTGGGGATCGAACTTGTGGTGCAGGGGCTGGTGATAGCTCAACAGCACTGTCTTTAACCCCTTACCACCAGGGAGGCCCCACATCACAATTTTAAAACCTCTCATCCTTGCTTTTGAGGACATCCTATAAATATACAGGTATGTCCCACTACTGCAATTCCTCTGAAACATGTCCCTTTGGATCCAAGTCCAAAATCAGAAGTCAGATCACGCCACCGCTTATTTAGATGATTCCAAACAGGCTCCAACTTGGCCTCTATGGCATATGCACCAGACCAGCTATCTCAGACAGTGGTCTCAATTCTAAAATGGCTGTACAGTTTGTCAGCTCAAAACCCTTCTATGGAATTCTCTTCCTACAAAAGAAGCCCAAGACCTTATAACAGCCTTCTAGACCTTTTTCTCCAGTACCAGTCACACTTCTCATCTTATTTTCAATTCAGGTCTTCTCTACATGTCTCTACATCTTAGGTTCACACAGTTTTAAGGGTTAAAAGGGACAGAAAAGCTGATAGAAACTTTGTGTTCAAGAGAGGATTCTTTAGTTGGAAGATAATAAATCATGTCTGTTTGTAATTAGAAATGAATACTGTGTAAAATTGACGATACAGGAGAGTCAGAAAGGAAGTAGTGGCATATTGAGGAGGCGAGAGGGATGAGATGAAGAGCCCAGAAAAAGAAATTCCTAGTATCTGGGTCTTATCACTGGCTCTGGAAACTCAAAGTCCTTTATCCTAACATAAGATATTTAAAGATGCCAAAAACATCTTTTCAACATATGATACTTCTAGATCCATGGTGAGACTTAAAAGGGAAAATATTCTAAGTCTCCTAGCATAAGAGTTGTAAAATAAATATGATCTCAATGTCTAAAAATAATAATAAAACCAATTATCATCTAGTATCTAATCCCAGATATATAAGTACTTAATATATAAGTTCCTTTTATCTTAATCACACCCAATAATCAAAACTGATCCCATGTTAGAGATGAGGAAACTGAAGCTCAACAATGTTAAGTAACTTGCCTATGATCACATAGGGAAATAAGAAATTTGGAGAACCCAGGCATGTCCAACGCATCTATGCTTTTACCCATAACACAATACAGTTCAGTTATCTTTGTTATACAGACTAAATGAGGCTGCTCATGAGCTCAGCAAATATGAAATGTTAAAAAAAATTAAGCTGCTACGTGGTATTTGTGCACGTTTATTAGTATCTACTAGACCATGAAGTCCACAGTATATATTTTATTAGGTCCTAACATACACAGGAAATGGCTGCGGAATGAACCAATCAGCATTTGAGTCTTAAAAACCTGCTTTGTTTTGTTTTTTCTTAAACCATGCTCACATATTACTTTGACAAAAACTGAAAAAAGTATCTTCTATTTTCCCTACACATCCATCACTGTCATCTCTTCCTGTAGACCAAAACCATCTCCTCCAATGTCCTGTCACACTTACCCATTTGTTTCTGTGGTTGACGTGGGCACCATTGGTTGCCAGGAAAAGAGCGGCTGCTTCATTTCCTGCTCCAGCTGCCCGCTGTAGTAAGCAATTTTCTAGGAGAAAATGGGCATATTCACTCTTACATTAGCATAAAAATGAGGTCAAGTTTCACATGGTACCACACCCAAACTTCCTCACCCCCTTTAGCCCACCCCAAAAGTGAGTACCATTTAAATCACAGACACTCTTTTTATGTGGACAGAGATGGAGGCTGAGCCTGGGCAGAGCACCGACTTGCTTTGGATGTCAGGAGACACTCAGTTTTCCCTGGGTTTGCCACTTGCCGCTGCCTAGGATCAGAGGTGAGTTATGTCTCCTCAGTGGAGTTGGCTTAAAATAGTCTCTCAGCAGTGGTGCTACTGATGTTATGGCAAAACAATCCTTTGCCATGAGGTATCTGTCCTGTACAGCTGACAAGATTTAGTAGGATGCATGGCTTCTACTTACTACAAGACAGTAGTACCCCAAGCTTGCTATGGCAATCAAAACACAGCTATAATATGTTGTAAATGTTAGGGGTAAAGGTGGTGGGTTTGCCCTGTTTGAATACCATATGTATAAGTGAACATTTGAAGCCAGAAGTTCTGTGACCAGACAATGCCCTTAAATACTTAAGTTTTTATCTCTATGACCTCAATTACTTTTGTCCTTCCCTTAGAAATGTTTCCCTTAAAATTACTCTTTTCTAGATGAAAAATCACACACACACACACACACACACACACACACACACAACACACGCTTTTTCCCCTTGTCCTCTCAAAATGGTTTTAGACATAGAGCAGTGTTTCTCTTATTACAATCCATTTCCTTTTTGGATAAACACAGACTCTCATGTTTGACAGCTAAGCTATTTTGAAAACACAAACCAAATTAAGTATCAGGACTAAAAACAAAACGAAATGGGACAAAGTGCTGTATTGTTTTTATACCATTTTTTTTCCTTTCCCCTCAGAGAAAGTAATTCCTTCCATCCCTATTTGGGAAACTCCAAATGTGAGTCCTATTTCACTTTTATGGTCATTCTACTGTGCACAAGACCTAAATTATATGCCTCTCTCTAAAAGAAAGATAATCTGTAAGTGCTAAAAGAGTATGTGTCTAATGAAAAATGGAAAAAGGAAAAGATAGTAACACTGAACTTGTATTAAAACTTAAAGAATATAAAGAGTGACAGAACAAGAAAAATGGGTGAATTCATAATCACAGTGAAGCTCACAGGTCAAATAATCTAGAAGTAAGTTAATGAGTAAGATTTTAACAGCATAATGAACAAGTTTGACTTAATGGGTCTGAACAAAAAATGCTGCATCCCACAATTAAAAAATGCATTCCTCCAAGTACATGTCAAGCTTTTATAAAAACTGGATCTAGGGCCCTCCCTGGTGGCGCAGTGGGTTAAAGCACAGCACAAAGAAGCTTAAGGCACTTCTGCATGAGTTCGATCCCCGCCTGCCCGGGAGGAGATCCACATGGCGTGGCAGACCTCTCCTGACCCGCCCGCTGCTCCCCTCAGCAGTGGACTTTGTCAATCTGCCTGTTCTGTACCCCACTCTGTCTCTGGTGAATCCTCTCACCCTCCGCATCTCTGGCCTGTACCCCAGCTCTGTATGAATAAATAAATAAATCTTTAAAAAAAAAAAAAAAACTGGATCTAACATTCTAATCCTAAATATCAAAGAATCAAAGAAGCAATCTCTTAAATGCTACTTTATATGTAGTTAAATTATAAACGAGTAAAATTATGGCCAATACCCGATTGTAAATTAAAAACAATTTAATAACAATCTCATTTCCAGAGGCTCTTCAGTTTAAAAACTCTTTTAAGAGTTCTTCCTGGACCTCCTGGTCACTGCCTTTAGGTTTAAAGCCACCTAGGTGGTGACGACTTCCTCTGAAGTGTCTTTTATAGGAAAGGCTTTTTCTAGGCCACTTCCCCTAAAAAGCAGGTGCCTACCTATTACCATAATTCAGTTTATTTGGGACTCCGTCCTTAAAATATTTCGGTATTTTATCTTCAGATAAAGGGAATAATCACGTTAAATAGTGGTTTTCGAAGTATGGTCTATGAATTCCAGGGGAACGTCAGTGAGTTATTTGTCAGTAGCTCCGTGGAATCAAAACTATTTTCAAAATACTAACAGTACTTCATGGTAACCTTCCCACTATGTTGACATTTGAACTGATGGTATGGAGGCATGATGGGTCAACCTGGAGAGTCTTAACACCTTAGTCAAAAAAGAGTCAGTTTCATGCCAGGCAGTTCTTGGTAAGGTATTAAAACTTACTGTCATTACAGCTTAACACTGAGCACAAATACCTTTAAAATTCAGTGCAACAAAATAGGAAGCATGTGCAAAGCCACATTTTCTAAGTAACAAAGCACAACGGTTACTGGAGAAATAGCATGTGTGCCATTGTGTAGGTTGCAAGGTGAACTAGCAGCTTTTTTCAATAAACATCATTTTTATTTGAAAGGAAGGTCAAATAACAAGCTATATTGTAATTCAGATGTGAGTGTGTGATAGACAGCTTCTTGAAGATGAGTAATGTAAGTATGTTTCTTTAAGGAAAACATTATGTTACCCTGTGATAAAAGTGGATGTTGCAAGTGAAACTTAGAAATCTGGAAAACATCTACAAACATAAATTTGACAGCTTTTCAATACTGAAAGGCTTTCTGCTATGGTCAGCTGTGATAGTAACAAAAATAATTTTAAAATAAACGAACATTTGGAAGATTTACAAGGGCATTCTGAGTTTGAAAAGTGTGAATCTCACTGCATTAAGTAAATGGAAGTGTTTTATCTTAAAGAATTTAACTTGGAGTCTACACAATTTTTGAAACATAAAAGTAAAAAAAAATTAGGTATTCCATTGGCAAAATTAAGCACAAAATAATTCTTATAATAGAAGGCCGTTTATTTCTAAATTTTTGTAAAGCACTGACACAGTATTTCAATAACCTGTGGACTTGAGTATTACCTCTCAGGGATTTGTGCTTTACCTGTTACTGAATCAGGTGCGTTCGTGTTGCTGCCACGCTGAATAAGTCTGGCTGCAAAGCTATTTTCATCAAATGAAGTCCCGTTTACCACAGGGAGGTCTTCAAAAGGGTTTACCGATTGGTCAGAAGACACAGTAATGTACTGTACTGCCAGCCACAGAGCAGTGCTGCCCTCATGGTCTTTCAGTTCTAAATCTAATCTGAAACAAGAAGCAGTGTGAATAACAAGTATAATCATCTTCAGACCCCAGCTCTGCCATAAATAGCCTCATTCTTTCTCTTTATACTTTTTGAACAACTATTTTTAAGTTTACTGATTAAAAATTATACCACCAAAAGACATTTTAAACAAGTACTTTTCACTCACAATCCCACCCTCACATCTGCTTTTTCACTTCTCCATTTTTCTCTACGTACTGTTTACACTGCAACAACTGATTGAATACGTATTCATTCCTGGCCATAATGGACAAGTGTAAGGGAGTCCTGTAGGACAAAAAAAGAAATGTCAATTCAGGACAGGCCCAATTCATGCCTACTCACAGCAGAAGCCACTAGACCCCTAGGCAGAAGCATCACCTACAAGAAAGTCTACATTTCTGCAACAGTAGCCTTTTCTACCTGGGCACACAGTTTTCTAAATCCATAACCAAGTAATAAAGAATGAAAATGGATTTGTTCACATTTCAGCATTTGTTTAGTGGCGAAAAGGATTGATAAAGAAATGTAAAATGCTCTCCAGTTAAAAACTCTTTCTTAACGAATGTGTATATATTATTTTTAAAATAACAGTTTCTACAGATACTCATATTTCCCCTGCTTACCCTTCACAATTCTGAAAATAAAATAAATAAATAAATCCAATAAATCTCTGTAAGGCTCACAAACACATGCTAAGTGGCAAGTAGCAGGAACAGATTAAAGCGGCATTTAACTTAACCTGTGTTCACTGGTTTTATCTAGCGCTCAAGAGCCCCACTGCCACTTCAGGCCCCCCACGCAGGCTACTATATTTCTCAGATGCACAGACTAACGACAGTTGAAGTGAACAAATTTTTTAAAAACAGAAGAAGAAGAAAAAAGGATGCAGTTATTTTGGGAAACTAAGGTAATTATCATATGATGTTGAGAGTTCATGAAGCTCCATCGTGTTGAAGTACACTATCTATCATAGTTCTGACAACTTCACAGAACTCTTTTTGAGAGAGCTTTCAAAGGTTTAAAATACTGGGCTGTTATGATCAAAAGTGGCTCCACCTGTTAATGATTTAGGTTATTTAACTCCTCTTTATTACTTCCCATACTATATCCTCCAAACAAGCAATCCTATCTTAGATTCCTAATCAATTATAATTCTCAGTTAAAAATTTCTGGGAAAGGGCAAAAGGAACACAATATCCACTGCCAAATACGCAAAGGGCGGTGCATTGGAAGATGCCAATCTATGCACACTGAATTGTGTTTAAAGTAGGAATATTTACAGGAAGGCAGAATTTGGTCTAATAGAGAACTTTCCAAGAATCAGACTTCACAGAAATAAAAGACTGCCTTGAGGTAGTGTTTCTTCAAATTTCTAAGTAGGGCCCTCCCTGCTGGTACAACGGGTTAGGACACAGAACTGCAAGTTAGCCACAGTCCCTTCAGTGTGAGTTCGATCTCTGGCCCCAGATGTGATCCACATGGCGTGGCAGACCTCTCCTGTCTCGCCTACTGCTCCCCTCAGTAGTGTACTTTGTTGATCTGTCTGTTCTGCTCCCCACTCTGGCTATGGTGAGTCCTCTCACCGCCCCTGCATCTCTGGCTTATACCCCAGTTCTTTATGCATAACATAAATAAATCTTAAAAAAAAAATTTCTAAGTAACTTTAATAAAGGTGCTAGAAGATTTGTTTGGAGCAGTTGGACCAGACAACTACTCTGAAGATGATATAAACTGCTTAAAAATCCAAACACCTCAGTTACCCAACATGGAAATGGTTTTCCCAAATGCCTTTGGCTTTTAGGTAAAACCTTTGCATAACAAATCAGCCTATGACTTAAAAAATCAGACTGAATAATGCCAAACAAAAGGAAATGAAGTCCCTGTCGCTAGTTATGTGCCCCATAAAATAACCTTTGAATAGTGCCTTCCAACTTACCTGCCCTTGCTGTCCTGCATGTTAGGGTTGGCACCAGCCTGCAGGAGGGCCTCTGCAATTTGTGCCATCTCAGACATCACATCTGCTGAGTGTTTCTTTGAACTGTACAATGCCACAAGGTGCAATGGTGTCTCCTGGGCACCCAATGTAGCAGCATTGACAAGGGCCCCATTCTTGATGAGGAAAGTGGAAGAGAAGAGATCTCCTTGAAAAGAAATATAAGAATATGGTCACAGATGGTAACACCCAGGACAAACTATTCTGGCCAATGGTACATCAAAAAGGCACTGGTCAGTAACTGCAGACAAAGAATGAGGGATAAACAAGTGTGTTTGAAGTGGAATTTGTGGTGTTTTTGCAAGTGAAAACTCACTGTTGACATCATGGAGTTATACAATCTAATTCAAAGACTGTTCAATTTCTAGTTACCTGTTGTCTCATCTGTTCTCTCTCCTCAAACACTTCATAACCTAAGAATACAAGGCTTTTAGTCTTCAAAGGTTTCTTCTAGTCAACTCTCAAAAAGGACTACAAGACTCCTCCCAAGCACAATTTCCCTCTCTTGATCAAAGTCTGCACCTAACTCTTACCACACATCTACTATACCTCAATATAATTTCCCGTTCAGAGTTAAGACCATGTCTGATTTATTCATTATCATATCTTTATTTTCTGTCTCATTACAGATAAACAACAGATTTAGTAACATCTAGAACAAGGCTTACTTCAGGAATTTAGAATGGGATATTTGAAAAAATGTATCTGTACATGCTACTATTTACCAGAAATTCACATGGTAATTCAATTGTTAAAAAAAGAAAAACTGGGCCCTCCCTGCTGGTGCAACAGGTTAAAGTGCAGCACTGCAAGCAAGGTACAGCTGCTTCAGCGCAAGTTCGGTCCTCTGCCCAGGAGGGAGCAGTTGCTTCTATCAGTGGCCTCCAGGTGGCACCAATTAGTTCATGCCAGGAAGCTAAATCAAACTGAGGTCACATGTGCAACTTGGTAAGTGGCTAGCGTGTAGATCCAAGTTATCCTGGCAGCTCATGTAGGATTTAAAGGTACTTCTATAGATCTGTTCTCCATTTCATCAAGGTCTAGAGGAAAAAATTTCTTACAAGTTACATCCTTCCTCAATTGGAAAATTCCCAGCTGATGATTTTTCTTTTTCTTATATAATTACTTTTAAAAAGCAGTTTACTTTTATATCTTGCAATGTCATAGCATCTTCAAATATACTTCTAATTTGAACATCTAGAATTAGGCTTACTTCAGGAATTATCTACATTCCTATACTCGTTTAATCTCTGTATATGGGTTTCACCTGGTCCTCAGCAGAATTTCAATGCTTTGAACTCTACTCTATGTACTTCCTTCCCAAAGAAACATCTTGCTAAAAGATGCGAGTTCTTGAAATGAAATGGCTAGGCAACCACAGACCCCTCAGATGCTGATTGGCCCACATCTGATTTACTTTTGTATTCACTTCTGTCTATTTTTTTTTAAAGACTGCTTTATTTATTTATGCAAAGAACTGGGGTGTCCGCCAGATGGGTGTACCATGGGGTGTAAAAGGATTCACCAGAGACAGAGTGGGGAGTAAAACAGGCAGATCTGCTGAAATACACGGCTAACGGGAGCAGCAGGTAAGAAAGAAGGGTCTGCTGCACCTGTGAGTTAGCTCTCTCATCAGGATTGAACTCAGGTGGTTGAAACTTAACCCTTACATCACCAGGAAGGCCCTCACCACTGTCTTAATTAAACAGACACCATAGGCTGAGGTTACCTTTTTACAGAAAGGTTCTAATTTCAGTTAATTATGACTTTAGGTGACTTAAGACTTTTCTAGTCTCTTGTGAGATATTTCATCCTTCTACCCCCAATTATTCCTTGGGGAAAGGCAAGAGGAAGAATGGCGCAATCATTACCAGCACCATGTGCAAAGAACCAAAACTTGAATTTCTTTACAATTAAAATGAGCTCTGGGGCCCTCCCTGCTGGCACAGAGGGTTGAAGCACAGCACTGGGAGGCTAGACCACTTCCACATAAGTTCTATCCCGCCTGCCCCAGGGGTGACCCACATGATGCGGCAGACCTCTCCTGGCCCGCCCGCTGCTCCCCTCAGCAGTGTACTTCGATGATCTGCCTGTTCTTCCCACTCTCTCTGGTGAGTCCTCTTACCACCCCTGTACCCCTGGCCTGTACCCCAGTTCTGTATGCACAAATAAATCAATCCTAAAAAAAAAAAAAAAAAAAAAAAAGCTCTGTAAGTCACAATTAACATGCATAACAGGGGTCTAGGCTGGGTCAGGCCTTTGCGATCTCTAGACATGGTGGGATTCTCAGTCGGGTTCTAAACAGTGGTATGAAAAAAAACCAACTGTGATACAGCATAAGAAAGAATATGCAAAAGTAATACACTCACAACAGAATAAAATACCCTAGAGAAGCCCACAATCTGGAAATGGAAAAGGAATTTTATAATTATTAGGGCAAAATGCAAAGTCTGATACATAATGCATTTTCATGACTGTTAAGTTTAACATGCATTCCAAATTAAGAGATAAAAAGACAATAAGGCTAAAATAATTTAAAAATGCATGATATACATGTGGAAACTAAACTGGGCAATAATGATACAGAAATAATAGTACAGGAAAACCTATTAATGGTTGCATTCAACAGAAGAGCTAATAATTTTCTTAATATCTAAAGCCCTTTTAAAATTACAACTTTTAATTAGATTTATTTTACTAAGTTATGTATAAACACATATACTCTGTTATACAAAGTTATTAAGAATTATTAGATATTGAAAACTGCTATTTTACACTAAAAGAAAGTCAACCCAGTATACATGATCTAGAGGAAAAATAATTGGTATCAAAAGAAAAGAACATGGACTCCCTGGTGGCACAAAGGGGTAAGTCACAGCATACTGAAGCAATCACAGCAGCACTAGTTCAATCCCCAGCCAGGGAGCTGACCTTCATAGCACAGCAGACCTCTCCTGTCTTGTCCGCTGCTCCCCCCAGCAGTGTATTATAGTAGATCCACCTGTTCTGCTCCCCACTCTGGCCTACAGCCCAGCTCTTGTATGAATAAATATTTTTTTTAAAAAAGAAAAATCCTCATGTAATTTTCCCTTAAATGCATCTTCCTGACAAAAGCTTTATTCAAACCACCATCAATAACATCCATTAATTAACACAAATTATCTCATGCTGCTCCAGTTGGTGGTATCATTTGCAAATTTACTATAATTAGACAGAAGCATCTAATTTAAGAACCCACTGATTGAGGTAATTAAGAAAAGAAAAACAAGTGCTCTCTTTAGTGGCACAACAGGGTAAAGCTCAGTACTACGAGCTAGCCACAGCCTCTTCAACACCAATTCCATCCCTAGCCAGGGATGTGACCCACATGGCGCGGCAGACCTCTCCTGACCTGCCTGCTGCTCCCCTCACCAGTGTACTTCGTCGATCTACCTGTTCTGTTCCCCACTGTCTCTGGGTGAATCCTCTCACCACCCCTGTACTACTAGGCTATTCCCCAGTTCTGTATGCATAAATAAAATAAAGCTTAATAAAAAAAACAAAAAACAAGAACTAGATTTTTATAAAAGCAGGGGTTCACCTTCTTGCCCAGATTCAGATATTCAGAGGAGCTGACACCCCTATGGCCATAAAACACACCTCCTGTGGATTTGCTCATATATACTGATTGCCTACTTTACTGGTATACCCAGTTCCTAGGATGATCACTATTTGTTTACCAAGATTCTGACTGTCTAGATCCAGACCTCTATCTAATATATTAAAGATCTTCACTTCTATTATAAGTAAGTTTAATTGTTGTTGGGAATGACTAAAGATTTACTCACAAGGAATTAGGGCGGTAAAGGCCTTGCATCCAAGGACTGATAAGGTGGTAATAAACTGACCTTGCATCTGGGACGGGACTAGCTGAAGGGGCCTCACATTAAGGACACAGCGATGAGTCACCCCCTTTGGAGTCTGAGTTTAGAATCTATATGAGACCCTTCCCCCTTATTGAGGGGGCAGTAGCTGTGGACCCCACTCTAGGGGCTCCATCTCAGCTGCTGTCCTGGAGCCCCCTTACTGAGGGGGCAGCAGCTGCGGACCCCACTCTAGTGGCTCCATCTCAGCTGCAGTCCCTGGGAGCAATAAACTCTGCTTGCTCAGCCTTTCTGCCTCAAGCCTTCCTTTCTTGCGGCCGGTCACAGAACTTGGCATCAGACTCATGGCGTCCGTCCCTCCTCTCCGCCTTTTCCTTTCAGTTGTTAAAATTTAAATATGTTACTCAATTTAATCATTTGGTCAGGTCAACAGATTGACAGTTTATGTCGGAGAAGGAAAAGTGACAACACATCTTAGAGAAATCTAAGACCCTAACTAGAGGATCTCATAGTGTTAAGTATGCTACTTTATTTCTCATTCTCATAACAACCAGTAAAGTAGAAACGATTTCCACTCTATGGAGGAGGAGACTTGGAGTAATTAGGTAACTTGCCAAGGGTTGCAGAGTAAGTGGGTGAGCCAGGATTAAGCCCCAGCAGATTCAAGCTCCCATGCCAGTGCTCTGCCCACTACCTCATGCTACATTCTCCAAAGTTAGCAACAATTAAGTTTATCAGATCCACACTGTGATCCATAAGTTTGCAGGCATCTGATAAGCTCAGAGTGGAAGATTGAACTGTTTGGAAATAAGCATGAAAAATGCAAAAAAAGTTCTGGGCAATTCTTGTAACTAAGCAATCACCAAAATATTTAATAACTTGTCAAAGATGTTTATTCATCAAATGCAAGAATTTAACTCCCTAGGAAGAAGGAAACATAATTCTAAATTGTTTTTTTTTTTTTAGTAACAAGTGATTATTTCCAAAATAAACACCGCAGACCCTAAACAGTACGGGAAAGAATAATTCCCTACTTGGTGGAAACTTTCCCTACTGAACATACACCCAAGAGCTAAGAACCCAGCGGCTTTGCACAGTGCAAAGTGGTGCTTGGGAAAAATGCATCTGCTATTGACACTGACATACTCTAAGGATTTCCTACCCAATGATGAACAAAATTTTCCTCTCCATCAGCCAACAAGCTGATAACTCTAACACATGGCTCAGTAGGATATCTATATTAAAACCTTTGCCCAAAAAGGACAAATCCACAGCTATAAAAGAATCACATTTGAAATAACTACAACTAACCAAGTAAGAGCAACCCTCTAAATGGCAAAAGTGAACAGAGACAATAATAATGCTTAATTGAGTGTAAATATAATAATTAAGATGTGAGGAACTCAGTATATCCACATATAAACAACAAAGTAGTCATAGCCAAGTACTTCAATTGAGTCATCTATCCCTTTATAAAACTCAGTCTTTGACATTTCTGAAAGATTTCATTCCAGACTAGAGCTCTACCTCCATATAGATTTTCATGGTCAAAGTGATTACTGCAAAGCAGAATCAGGCAGGATCCATTTGGGACTTAAATATTAATAAGGCCATGGGAAAAAAAGAAGACATACTTTCCCCCTTGCTTGAAAAGTTAATTCATTAATATAAAAATGTCTTAATTCTATCACATGTTCTTCCTACCATTGGTGACAGTAGCTATAATTTCAAGTAACTGTCTTAGAACAAAATGGAATGTATAGCTTTGCCATGAGAACTATATGCGGACTCCTCCAAGTCTGAGGAAACAATGGTGATTTGATACTTTCCCTCTCTTACTACTGTACAATATCTGCAGAAAGTCATATTGCTTAAGCAAACACATCAATCACTTAAAAGAAAAAGATACTTATTTTAAAAGTACCTTCTTTCTATTTTCTTCTTGGGCTCTGCGGACTCTATGAAGAGTCTACTGACATGGTGTGGGCAATAACTTTTCAGTTTCTGCTCTGACCTACTGGTCACAAATTTTCAATTTTACAGCCCATAAGTACAGACTCAAGAAGCCTCTGAGAATGTCTGGAACAGGGTCAGGGTCAGAGAGTCCTTAAAAATTACCTGGGCAAAAGTAAAACTGACTGCAAAGAAAAATATAAGATATACTTCATCCTACCTCTCTGGATTCCTTTATGTAACAAGCTCCAGCCATTCTTGTCTGCCATGTCTACATCAGCTCTGTGACTAACCAATGTGGAGGCAATACTCTCTAGTCGTCGTGAAAGGGCTAGATCTAAAGCAAGATCTCCATTATGATCCACTTCATTCAGCTTCCCAGGGAGCTGCACAAATAAGTTTGTAAATTAGCACCCAGCATATAGAAAATACAATGCATTTTAATCTTTCCCACATTGACTCTTAAATATCATCACCTCTTAAACAGATGACAAATTTTAATGTTCTAACACTGTTCACCATTTTCAACTGAATGGTCAAAGTTCCCTCAGGCCTCTTCAGGGCATATGCTTTCAGGAAGCACAGATGTAACAAAAGCAGAGCAGAAAACACGGTGGGAGACAACGCCAGGAGCAAAGGGAAAGTGCTCTTGGAACATCAGAGCCAGAGCAGAGGTTCAGAGGGTCTGAGGGGAAATAGCTACCATTATCATGAAAAGCCATGGCTTAACTACCTTATTTCTCCTAGCAATAAAATATCTCCCTCACATATGGGACACCAAGGATATAACAGACTACACTCCTGTGTGTTAGAGCAACTATATTTCTCCTTAAGGCAGTGTGGTAGGTAAAGTAACAGCCCCCAAAGAGGTCCATCTTGATTTTAGAGTGGTGTTGCCTATATCAACTACAAAACTGTAAGATAAGAAATTTTGTTTGTTTGAAGTCACAAAGTTTGTGACAATTTTTTACAACAGCAAAGGAAATCTAAAACAGATTCTGGTCCCTAGAAGTTGGGTACTGCTATAACAACCACCTAAACAATGTAGAAGTGGCTTTGGAATGGGGCAAATGGGCAGAGGCAAAGCAGTCTGAGAAACATGACAGAAAAAGCCCAGAAGCCTTGAACAAACTGTCAGTAGAAAAATGTACAAATAAAGACTGCCAATGATGGTTCAGAAGGAAGTGAAGAGTGTTAGAAAAGTAAGCAAGGTGTAGCTTTGGGGGAAGATATGAAAAATGGAAAAACAGTGACAGTACCTGTGAATCCATTTCAATTAGATAAAGGAAGACCACATCTTCTCTCTCCACTTTGATAGCTTTATGCAGTGGGTACTCAGTCTTAGATTTGATCATCTTATATAACAACTGAGCACTCATGCTGCTGAAGTCCTCCTTTCGTAAATCATCCTAAGGATGAAACAAAGTGAAAGGCAAAACAAATTCAACATACAGTAACAACAATGGGGATTTACCAAACACTTACAATGTGTCAGGTCATACTTCAATGGATTTAACATTTCCCAACTCATTTAGTCCTCCAAAGCCCTGTAAAGGAGATACTATATGATGATGAAAAAAGTGTAATATGACATAAAATAACTTGGCCAAGAGGTCTATCTCCTTCCCCTGTGTTCTTAACCAGAGACCACTGTGCCTTCAGTGAGAAAGTTAACACACAAGCAAAACCGACACCCAGCAAGGTCATCCCATACTCTATGAGGAGCATTCACATGAGGTTAGAATCTTGCCCCTCACCCTACAAAATGACAAGTACAGCCTACAGTTCAACTGGGTCACTGTTAGTCTTGACTACTGCAGTTCTCTTTATTTATTTTTACCTATTTTAAAAGGTTACCATTCTTTATGAATGTTTCAACTCTTTAAAATTGTTTTAAAAGTCAGCTCTTCTATGATTTTCTATCACTCTATTGCAGAAACTTATTTATAAAACAGGATTCATCATAATTTTTTTAAAAATGCAAAAATACAACATAAGGAAATGTTGTATAACATTTATAACATAAAAAAATACAAAAACTATTTTTTATGAAGAAAACTACCTCTAAAGGGCGAATCTAAATTTAGCGACAGTCTCTTTACTGGTGGAGAAAGCAAGGGAAGCCATGGTGGTGTTGCCAAGTACTGCGGAATCACTGGCCTTATAGCAGCACCAGGTCCCATGGCTTAGCCAGAGCTTCTGCCAGTGGAGGGTGCATCTTTATTCCATGTCTGTTTCTTGACCTGAGCTACTTTTTCCTCCACTCAGCAATCATAAAACTATGGAACTTTCAAAGCCAGAAAGAATCTCACAAATCTGTAGCAAACTGCTAGCCTTCAGTTTTATAATATCAGGTAAGTAGGGGCCAGAGAGGAAAACTGGCATGACGAAGCAGGTCCCAAGCTCAGGTGTTCTGACTGCCAGTGAAGGTTTTTTGCTAACAACCCTCAACCTCTGACTCACCCAATGACTTGCAATAATTTCTGCACAGTAGTTCATCAGTGTGCTGGCATTCAGTTCCTCTGCAGTCTGATAGAAACGAATACAGTTCCTGACATTCACCAGAGACATCACACTCTTCTCACATCTACAATAGAATATTAATGAACAGTATTATTAGGATAAATAAATCTAAATGAATAAGCCAAATCAGTAATCAGTGTACTGGCTGGCTATGTCCAATAACAGTAAATAAGGTTAAATAAAGTAATTATGAGCAAATTATAACTGAGCTCCCACATTTTAAAAGTACTGGAATTTCATTATGATATTATATTGCTCATCTGGGTCAGAATCAAAATAACATGTTAATAAGCATAATCCTCCTAACTGCTTTAAAAGGAAGTGCATGAAACTTATTGATCATATACATAGGCAACTGGTAAAATCAAATGCACATGGATCAAATTCAGTCCTTCAGTATTTACCTCTATGGGACACATTTCTGGTTCCCACAGCAAGCAGCAGGGCTCAGAAATAACTTCAAATATGAGGTTCTATGCGCCAACAAATTAACCTCTGTGTCTTCCCAAAAGAACTATATATAAATTATAACTAAACAAAGTTATCTAACAAAAGCCTACTTTAAAAAATTATCATATATATTTGAATCAGTGGGGGAGACGACTGTCTTGTGGTCCTTCCACATTCCTACAAATCAAGTCCACCTCCTAGGGCAGAAGTATGGTGTCAGGGATATTCCATAACATACCCACATCATTGCTTCTTCTGGCCCATGGCCCCCACAGAAAAGGGGGAAATGTAGAATGTAGTAATTAGAGCAAAAGTGAGGTAAGAACTGAATTACAATTAACTGGATTTTTTACTTGAGTAGAGGCCAAATTACTTGAGTTGTCTGTGCCCTGTTTCCTTCCTCTGTAAAATAATAATGCTCAAGGTAAGAGGTCTGGAGGATCTGTTTATTTTTCAGGATAAAGTACAACTATATATACTTTTCATAACAGAAGATACATTAAAATGTAAGTTTTAAAGTTTGAGGTCCTGCTATCCCTCCCCTTCTCTAAGGCCTAAACTTCCCTCACTAAGGGGCAAGCATGAAGGACACAAGCATTCAAGGACACGTATTTAATACTTAAATATGGATGTGTTCCAGTGCTATTATTAAGAAAACTGATCAGGGCCTCCCTGATGGCGCAGGAGTTAAAGTCTCAGCTCTATCAAGCTATCACCAGCCACTGCAGTATGAGTTCGATCCCTGACAAGGAAACTGAACCACATGGCACAGCAGACTTCCCCACAACAGTAAATTTCAGTAGATTGCCCGTTCTCCTCATTGTCTGCGGTGAATTCTCTCAGCCACACCGCCCCCCCAACTTCTTGCCTTGACCCCAGTTCTTGTATGAATAAAAAAAATAAATAACTGATTGGCTAACAGATAATGCCTATTTTAAGCAGGGAGCTTTAGGTAACAGAAGTGGAAAAGAGCCATGGGAAGACTGGGGGAGAAAGATGAATCATGAGAAAGACCTGGGAAGAATGAGAAACATTCAAAACCTCACAATGAGACTTTAGGCTAAACAGAAGGAAGACTAATCACAGAGCCATTTCTCCATCTAGTGGTAAATATAGGCACCTATTTTATTCCAAGGTCTATACTTAAGTGCTTTGGTTTTGTTTTTTTTTTTAATTAAAGATTTATTTATTTGTTCATACAGAACTGGGGTACAAGCCAGAGGCTCAGGGGCGGTGAGAGGCTTCACCAGAGACAGAGAGAGTGGGGAGCAGAACAGGCAGATCGATGAAGAACACTGCAGAGGGGAGCAGCGGGCGGGTCAGGAGAGGTCTGCCACACCATGTGGTCGCCTCCGAGGCAGGCAGGAATCGAACTCATAGGGAAGTGGCTTTAGCTTCGCAGTGCTGTGCTTTAACCCACTGGCCACCAGGGAGGGCCTAAGTGCTTTGTTTTTAAGAAACACAGCTGGCTCAGTGTAAAGGAGCATCTCCCCAGGGAACTTTTAAATAACTCAATAATTGAGTTATCTTAATAAGAAGTCAGAACTTGAATATCTTTGATCCTGTACCACCAGTGTTCCCACACTCATACCATACCACCGTTTGACTGAGTCATTCTGACTGTGACTAAATCCTCTTCTATATATATGAAGTTTACACCTTTCACAATGACAAATATCCATCTGCTTGTCATGCTAATATTTTAGCACAAGCTCTTAAAAGTATTGATTCACACTTGTATAACACTTTACAAAGCACATTTACAGACAAAAGCTGAGGGTCTGAAAATTCCATTCTCCTCCTTTCTATTGGCATACAATATTTCATCTACTATCTCAATTATGTTTCTTGATGATTTGTTATAAGGAAGAATCTCATCACTAAACTTTGGGCTCCCCAAAGTGCATTTACTATTTGGATAATCTATAAATATAACTGACATGATTTACACAAGTGAAGAACATGTAATCTTATTTTCAAACTCAGATTCTCACTTCATATCTTCTCTTTGAAAAATAGCAAAGAGTCCAAAACTGTTACAGACATCAAAAAATTTTTAAATTTAAAGTTCAAAATAAACACATGTGGGCATTCTACAAACTCCTGTCTAGTTTTAGTTATCAATTCCATGTGTATGAATATGAGACAGAAAAACTAGTCAAAGGATAAACAACAAAAGGTTAATACTGGTTGAGTTACAATGGCTAAGTGTTTTTTCTTTATTTCACCCTGTATTTCTAAATACCATACACTATATGGTAAAAATTATTATTTCGCTACTTAACTCTTTTTTTTTTTTTTTAAAGAGAATTTCCCTGTTAATACCAAAAACTTCCTTTTCACAACTGGTAGAGAGCATTACCAAATCATCAAATGTGAGCAATGCCTGCAGCCTATTTAATGAAACATGTTTGTATCAGACCTGTTCACTTTTTATTGCAAATTATAACTTCTACAGCCAGCAGTGGGCACTGTACAACCTTTTCAATGCCAACATTTGAATCCACTCCTGCATCTGTCTCTTCTGTCCCAGCTCTCAACAAAGCAATGACAAGTAACAACTTAATGGCCCAACCAACACACAAAATAGAGCGTCCGGTAATGCTGTAGTTATACAGCCTAATCAGTCAATAAACAACCATATTTTAATTAAGAAATCCATTATACAGATTATAATCATCTAAAGTACTCCGATCCCAAGGCATTTTTATTAAAACAATTTAATTTACAAGCAAATCTGAAAAGGTCAATGGTAGAAAACAAGCTCAGGCAATCTGAAAGAAAAAACAAAAAGATAAATTACACTCTATCTAATTAAAATATTCTTATTTCACGCTCAAATGGTTCAAAAAAAAAAAAAAACAAAAACTCACCCAAACAAAAAATGAAAGAGCAAAAAGTACTTAGCTTTGCTGACTTAATACCACATATGCCTACAAACTTTAGATTGATTTGTTTTCGTGACTGGATAGGGATTAAAATGTGCTCAAACCCAAATTGATTATAGATAGAGAGAAGTAACATGTACAAAGACTGACATGGGGCTTATAGTGAACCACCCCATGGTAAATATCAGCCTCACAGTAAAAACAGAGCACGCAGCTCTGGGTAGTAGCAAGTCTCTCTTGGCAACACAGCAACAGGTAGAGTACCTCTTGAAGGCTGAAACCAACCCTTCACTCACCCATGAGAATACAAAAAAATCATTGATGTGAAAACACATTCCATCCATGTCCACCAAGCTGACTAGCAAGGGCTACATCTCTAACAGAAAGCAAAGAACATTTTGCCTGATATCATTTGATGACAATTTTTTTTCTACTCTTCTAAAGACCAACTTGAGAAAGCAACAGAAAATGCAATATATAAAGCATAGCAGGACATCTCCTTGGGAAACTAGACAGCAATAACTTAAATAAAATGAGAGCTCAGAAACATCAGCTATGAACTTACTGAAGCATATACTTGTGCTTTAATTTAGGCACTAATGTGTTTCCAACGAAGAGAATCTGACCAAAGACTTCCTCTAAGTAGATACATCAGAAAGTAGAATAAAATGTCAAAGGAAATAGTAAAAGGGAAAGTTTAGGGTTTCAACACCAGACTACATTATTTAATATTCAGTTTATCAAGTCACACAATTGTATATAAGATAATAAACAAATAAAAGAAAAAAGGATACCTAAAATTGTCAGCAAAATTTAGCTTACAGGATAATGCAAAATAAGGGAGATTAAATACTCTCCCTACTATCACCTTTAAAAGAACACCTTGCAAAAGTTATTTACATTAGCAGAAGAAGCTGTTTTCCCAGAGCTTGGCATAATTAAAGCTCAGCCACCACCATCTGAGGTGCTTGAATATATCTGCTGTGACTTGCCTCTCCCTAAGGAGCTGTAGTTGAAACCGATTAGCTAGTTTCATCAACTCAGTCAGGAACACATCATCTTCTCTGAACTCCAGCTCATCAGTATAGATCCAGCGAAGCATTGTCATTGTCACCTCGGGGTTAGCATCTGTTTAAAGAAAGAGCAGAGAAACTAAAAACAAAGTACTGGTGCCTTTCTGAAGATTCCTAAATTTGAGATTAAGAAAATTATGGTAGAACCACTCAAAGAAACATCAGTCATTTAAAATCGTGGTTAAGCTGTCTGAGTGGCACTGATTCCAGAAAAAATGTATTAAGTTTTACAATGGTAGTAGGCAGGAAAATGAACCTACTAAAGACAGAAGTCTAATAAACTGGAGGAACATATTTTAGCTATATGATAAATTCACATTGTAATGGAGAGCTCTTACAAATGAAAAAGAAAATATGGGACACTCAAAGGGTATTTCACAAAAAAAAATATAAGTGACCAATTAACCTTCCCAGTATAAATGTAAACTAAAATATTTTTGATCTTTCAGACTAGCAAAGACTCTTCAAAGTGTATAATTTCAAAGAGTACAGCAATTACACATGTAAGTTAGCCTAAGAAAACAACTGGAAAAATATAGAGAAATATATACTAAGAATGTCAATACAGTATATTTTTCATTATATTTTTTATTTTTTTACATCATTTTTCATTTTGTGCATTTTTTCATCTCAATTGAAATCCCCATGGGCTTCCCACCACCAATTCACCTGTGTGCCATCACCACAGTCCAGTGCACTCTTCCCATCCCAGTTCCGAACCCATTCCCCCTCCCACCCCCATAAAATGTCTCCAGTTTATAGTTGTTTACTGTTTTCATTTTTACTCTATTACATTTGGTTGTCTCTCCCCTCCCCCAACCCCCATCCCTTATGCTCCTGCTATGAGTGAAATCACCTGGTATTTTTCTTTTTCTTTCTGGCTTATTTCACTAAGCATGGTCCCTTCCAGCTCCATTCATGTTGCTGCAAAAGGCATGAATTTCTTTTTTCATTGCTGAGTAATAGTCCACTGTGTATATGTACCACATCATTTTAATCCAGTCTTCTATTTTTGGGCATTTAGGTTGATTGTAAATTTAGATCTTCATTGTAAAAAGAGCAGCAATAAACATGGGGGTGCAGGTGTCCTTTTTAATCAGTGTTTTTGTGTCCTTTGGGTATATACCTAGGAGTGGGATTACTGGGTCATATGGAAGCTCTATTTTCAACCTTTTGAGAAACCTCCAAATAGCTTTCCATAGTGGTTGTATCAGCTTACATTCCCACCAGCAGTGTAGGAGAATTCCTTTTTCTTCACATCCTTGCTAACACTCGTTGTTGCTAGTTGTTTTAATATGTGCCGTTCTCACTGGTGTGAGATGGTGATTTTAATTTGCATTTCCCTTATTACAAATGATGTTGATTGAACATTTTTTCATATGCCTGCTAGCCATCTGCATTTCTTCTTTGATAATGTGTCTTTGTAGCTCTTCTGCCCTTTTTTGATGGGGTTGTTCACTTTACTTTTGTCAAGTTTAATCGGCTCTATTAATGATCAGTCCTTTGTCATTAATATTGTGTACAAATATTTTCTCCTAATTAGTGGGGTGTCTCTTTGTTTTGTGTAGTGTCTCTCTTGCTGTACAGAGCTCTTTAACTTGATGTAGTCCCAACTGTTTATCCTTTCCTTCACTATGCTTGCTTTGGGCGATGTATCTTTAAAGGTATTATTGAGGTGTGACATGCAGCGCTTCGCCTACCTTTTCCTCTAGATATTTTATGGTTTTGGGCCTTATGTCTAGTTCTTTAATCCATTTTGAGTTGGTTTTTATGCCTGGTGTGAGGTAGTAGCCTAGCTTTATTTTTTTGCATGTAGCAGTCCAGTTTTCCCAGCACCATTTGCTGAACAAACTTTCTTTGTTCCATTGCATATTCTTTGCTCCTTTGTCAAAATTTAGCTGCCCATAAACCTGGGGGTTTATATCTGGCTTTTCTATTTGAATCCATTGGCTTGTATGTCTGTCCTTGTTCCAGTACCAGGCAGTTTGATTATTATGACTTTATAGTATAGCTTGAAGTCTGAGATTGTGATACTTCTGGTCTCTTTTGTTTTAGTCAGGAGAGGTTTGGCTACTCGGGATTTTTTGTGGTTCCATATAAATCTCATCAATATTTGTTCTTACAGCACTTTTTAATAATGAAAAACTGGAACTAAAATCTTAAGAATCCAGTAACAGAAAACTAATTACAGTATCTACACATACTGGAAAATTCTGCATCATTTAAAATTGCTTCTATCTCTATTAAATATAAAAAGATACAGCAGGCAAAAGAAAGATTTTTGGGGGGCCCTCCCTGGTGGTGCAGTGGGTTAAAGCACAGCACTAAAAAGCTAAAGCCACTTAAGCATGAGTTCAATCCCTACCCCAGATGTGACCCATATGGCGCGGCAGACCTCTCCTGACCCGTCCACTGCTCCCCTCAGCAGTGTACTTCATTAATCTGCCTGTTCTGCTCCCCACTCTGTCTCTGATGAATCCTCTCACCACCCCTGCACCTCTGACCTGTACCCCAGTTCTGTATGCATAAATAAATCTTTAAAAAAAAAAGGTTTTTTAAAGTAGGCTAACAGTACACATATCATACAACTCATTCTGTTAGATATATTTGTGTATATGTATATGTGTATATTTATATATATGTGTACATTCATACATATACCCTCTCTCCCATCCAAGTACTAACAGGGTTTGACTCAGCTTAGTATCTGAGACCAGATGAGACTGGGAACACTCAGGGCAGTGTAACAGTGAACAGTGAGTTCAACAGACTGTCAAGTCTATTTCTATCTACCTATCTATCGATTAGAAGAATATGAAAATGTCAACCCTGATGGAAAGCATGAATAATTTTTCTTCTCTGATTTTTGTAATGTCATTGTTTTGCAACCATGCCAGGCCAGGTAGGTTTACCGTTAGTTCTAGCAATCTGAAGGTGAATTTTGGAGATCTTGGTAATTTATGAAGGTTTTAATGGTAAGCAGGGTAAACATGTCAGCAGGGAAATAGCAAGTAGACCCCCCTGCAAATCTCTATAAGCTCATTCCTCTGGTGTTCTCTCATAGTCTCTTCCTCTCGTAGCTGTCACTTGTCCTCTCGTAGCCACTCCACAGTAGCGGTCTCTGAGTAATGCCTCCTTTATATCCTTGACCTCTAGGCTCAGGTGTACACATTCACACATGTGCACACCCCTCATGCTCAGGTGTCCCTAGTTAGGAATACGTGCCCCACACCCACACACCTTCCACATTTTAACAAAATCAAGGCTGCAGGTGATAGCCAGAGGCCAATGACAAAGAAGCCTGATCAACTTCATTTACCCTACAGTAATGAATATGTATTAAAAGGAATGTGTATGAAAAAAAGAAGAAATGGATACTATCCTTTAAAAGTTATTAGGGAGCAGGTGATAATGATTGCCTAAAACAAGGCTAATGAGAGAAAGATGGTAACTTTATTGAGCACCTGTAATATATTATATATCTACATAAGTATGTGATCTCATTTAATTTAGGGGTTTAACCTCCTTGGTTTAATATGAAGAAATGGGTCCATTGCTAATAAATAAAAAGTCACTGGCATCTAATGCAATGGCAAATCTACTGATTTGCCATTTGAACAAACCCAATTATTTATGGTAGATATTTTAGATAACTATATGAGAATTGGAGGATACTGAGAACTGATAATCTTCCGAAAGTTGGAGCTGTTGATAGCAGTTCTGTGACTATATTTACTCACACTTTGATAAAGCTTTAGGAGGTGATGGCATCTTCTCCGTAGTAAGTAATAAAGAGGGAAAGAAAAGGATGCTAATTTTTTTAATATAATAGTTTATTTCTACATCATTTTGTGCCTTTTCCCATCTCAGTTGTAATCCCCGTGGGCTTCCCATCACCAATCACCCGTGTGCCATCACCATAGTCCTGTGCACTCCAATCCCAAACCTGTTTTTTTTTTTATCCCATCCCCCACTCCACCCACCCCTGTAAAATGTCTCTGGCATATAGTTGTTCATTATTATTTTTTTTCTCCTGGCCCTTTATGCTCCTGCTATGAGTGAAACCATCCAATATTTTTCTTTTTCTTTCTGGCTTATTTCACTAAGCGTGATCAAAGGGTGCTAATGTTTATTTTGAATTGTATGCCAGACTTTCAAGCAAATTTAATTTTTGTAATGATGCCGTCAAACTGAAGCTCAGAGTGGTTAAGTTCCAGGTCACTTGCACAATTTTTTAAAGTTAAAGGCTCTACAGCAACTTGGAGAAATGCTTGAGAAGAAAATCATAGCATAAAATATATAATTTCAACTGTAGTCAACTCTTGATTAATCAGAATAAGGAACACCATAGTCACAGGATCACTTAAAATCATGGTCTCAAGGTAGGCCTGAGGTAGCAAAATCAGCATCATTGGGAACTTGTTAGAAATTCTAATTCTCAGGTCCATCCCAGATGTGCTGAATCAGAAACCTGGGAATGAGGCCCAAAATGTTTTTTAACAAGTCCTCCATGTGATTTTGATGCTTGCTGGGGTTTAAGAAACTTACTCTCAATTCTTAATTAGAATAGGTGCAATATGAACCAGGAACATCTTATTAATTCAGTAATTGGATACACACTTCTTGTTTCCAACCATAGTGGTGAGAAGGTTGAAAGAATTAATATCAAGTGAATGGAACTCAAGGCGCCTGATTTACTTGATTGAAACTGCATTAATTCACCATCATCCCCTAAAAGTCAGATGTTAAAATAATAAAATAGAATGGGGGGAGAAAACATCAAAATTCTAAGTGATTATGTTAAGGTTTATTTATGTCTTTTCTCTTTTTTCCTGGTAATATGTAAGAATACTTTAAAATTATTTAAGAGAGAAAACATGGAGATCTAAGATTTATTTAAATAATAATTGAAGAAATACATCAAGTTGCATAAAGTATACAGAGTAAACCTCTTAGTTATTTTAATGAAACGAAAAAAATCTGTAGGTCACATGATTTATACAGAGGTTTTGCTAAAGATGCTACAACATATACTCCTCCTACCCTACAGCTATA